ACACACCCATGACCCATCACCATTCACCCATCTGCAGGTATTTGCTATTTCTCTCTCTCTCTCTCTCTCTCTCTTCATAAAACTCTGAAGCTTCGAATCTCAGAGCCCCCCTCCCTACTTTCTACCGTTCCTTTATCGATGGCGACACCTACCCCAAACTCCCCACTTTTCAATGCCCGTTCTTCCCGCTGTTCGTAGCTCAGCTTGAACGAATCTGTGGGGAAAAAAAAGTGGGAGAGAGAAAGAGGAAAGAAAATGGGGAGGAGCAAGAACGGTGCTTTCTTGTTCACTGAGGTTGTTCTAGTGATCGCCGCTTTGATTTCCAGATTGGGTTTTGTAGGAGCTGCTACTGATCCTAATGATTGTAAGTTCTTTCAAAACTTTTTTTTTTCTTTGTTGTTTGAATTAAAGTTGTGTTTCAGAGTTAATGGTAGCTGAGTTTTTTTTATGGAATGTGATTTTGTGTTCTTTAGAATGTGTAAAGGAAGAAGCTTTTTGGAGTTTGTGATCTGGGAAGATTTGAATTTGGAAATGCATGCCCAAGATTATATGATAGTTGAATTTGGAAACATGATTTTTCTCACTGGTTCTAAGTTTCTCTTGCCTTTTCTGGATTTCTTTTGGAGTCAATGCAAGTCAATGGTTAAATTTTTACTATAAATGCAGAATCTTGATTGTTGAAGATTAAAATTGTTATGTTATAAATGCATAATCTTGAATGTTGAAGATTAAAATTCTTATGTTATAAATGCATAATCTTGATTTGGTGATATTTGTATGGATATAGATGAGGTAGTATATATGTGTGTTCCAACTCTATATGGAAAAACCAATATGGCCAGCACTTTGCCCCTTAATTGGACCGGCCTGGTGCGAATGAGGATTAGTGTATGGTTTGGGCTTAAAGGTGTTTCCTACAGATAGGGTATGCTCAGGACACCTCATGGTCTGGCCAAAAAAAAAAAAAAAAAACAAACTCTATATGTATACTTGGTTGTGTGATGTATGGAAATGATGATCAAGTAATAAGCTAGGGAGCAGTTGAACATGTTGTGAGTTAATATGCATTTGTGTTTAATGTGCTCTCGGTTAAGCGAAATTTTGACAAATGGGGGATTCAATTCGTCGAATTGTACTTTAATTTGCAGTGCAAGCGCTTGAGGTTCTGTATGGTTCGCTAAACAGCCCTTCGCAACTGAGTGGTTGGAAAGCGAGTGGCGGTGATCCATGTGGTGAATCGTGGAAAGGGGTTACTTGTCAGGGCTCTGCTGTTGTCTCGATGTAAATTTATACCGTGCCTTTAGACACTTTAGAGCGTTCCTTTATCTATCTATATATGCGTAGTTGTTTCTGGTTGTGTATTGATGGAATGATGGGTCTTTTATTGGAGCAGTGAAATTCCCGGGCTGGGGCTGAATGGAACAATGGGGTATATGCTCAACGGTTTTACATCGTTAAAAGAATTGTAAGTTTTTATTATTTGGTCTCGAGGGGTTAAAGTTGTTTTGCGTTGTCTTTGTGACTAGCTGACTTCTCGGGATTTTACTGTGTTTAGGGATTTGAGCAGCAACGAGATTCATGATCTTATCCCGTATCAACTACCTCCCAATCTGACAAGCCTGTAATGTTCAACGTTACAATACGTTTGTTTGTTTGTTTTAATTGTATTTGTTGCTTAATTCTCTAAGCATTTACTTCATATTGTTTTATTCAGGAATCTTGCGAATAATAATATAACAGGAAGTATTCCTTATTCCATCTCGCTCATGACGTCTCTTAATTATCTGTGAGTGTGGACGACTTTTATACGTGCTCTCTGTAATTGTAATATATACGAAGATGTTATATTCTACTGTAATATATTCGAATGTCTTAACCCTATCTGAAACCCGATTTTTGTATAGGAATTTTAGTGGTAACTCTCTTGCGCAACCTATTGGAGACATGTTTACGAACCGTTCTGATCTCACAACCTTGTAAGGCATCTTCTCGACTTGTGACCCTTCATTGTTCTTGTGAGACTATTTCGTGAATTCCGTTTTGATTTATGCAATAATATTCTCGTAATCTCGTCTGCAGGGATCTTTCTTTCAACAATTTTAGCGGTGATCTCCCCGCTTCTTTGGGTTTGTTGTCAAATCTCTCGATGCTGTGAGTGTGATAAGTTTGTTGTGTTTAATAAAAAACTTATTCTCTGTTGTTTGACTAACTTATGACGTTTCCCGTCACTATGGTAGTCGCGTGCAGAACAACCAATTGACCGGGAGTCTCAATGTCTTGGTCGATTTACCTTTGACTGACTTGTAAGTCTCGACTCGTACTAGGTTGTTAAATTTGTGCGTTTGATGAATGGTATTGTTAAAAAAAATGCTCACAACGACCTCTCGACAGGAACGTAGCAAACAATCGTTTCAGCGGATGGATACCGAACGAGCTCATTTCGATTCCTAAGTTCGAGTAAGTATTGGACAGACTAACTATATACACTTATAAAGTTATATATATTCGCGCCATTTATTAATCTGTTATTTGATGTTACTCCTACTGTGGAACAGATATAGCGGGAATTCGTTTTCCAATAGTCCTGCTCCTCCCCCGCCACCATTCACCCCGCCTCCTCCCGGTAGACCTCACAAAAGAACCAACCACTCTACACCAGGGTCGCATAAAACTCCGGGTTCTGATGATAACCATTCCGATCACGAGAATGGGAATGGAAATGGAAAGAATGGCGTGAAAGCTGGAGCTATTGTAGGCATAGTTCTTGGATCTTCGGCTGTGGTTCTCTCTGCTATCGTTGTGATCGTTTATTGCCTTCGGAGGTGTAAGAAGAAGGAATTTGCTGCAAGAACCTCTACGGGAAGTCTTCCTCTCAGCACAGATAAAGGTACTTCTCTCTCTCAAAACTAGGGTGTTAAGAGTCCCGCATTGATAAAATAATAGAGGATATATGAGTTTATAAGGCCATGGGGTTAGACTAGCTAATTGGTTGGATTTAATCTTTTAGTGTGGTTTAGCCCATATACATGGAAGGGACTTTGTATTTGGAGCAATTATTTTGAATAATGGCATGAAAAGCGGTTCGTTTCTCACCCGTCTTCACTCCTACTGAATGCAGAGGTGCTCGATCAACGGGCAAAGTCCACGGCTACCGTAGTGGACTTGAAGCCCCCGCCATCTGAGAAAGTGACGATCGAAAGGATGCAAGGAAAGAATGGTTCTCTCCGGAGATCCCCAATAACCGCCACTCCTTATACCGTGGCGGTACTTCAAACAGCAACAAACAGTTTTAGTCAAGAAAACCTTGTCGGTGAAGGTTCCCTTGGCCGTGTTTATAGAGCAGATTTTCCTAACGGGAAGGTTGGTTCTCGTTTCCTAACATTTGGATTTCATCGGATAATACTGAGAAAAACTCTTTGTTAAGAGTCCACATTGATAAAATAAGAGAGAACATATGGGTTTATAAGGCCATGAGTTAGACTAGCTAATTGGTTGGATTCAATCTGTAGGTATTGGCCATTAAAAAGGTCGATAGTGCAGCGTTATCACTGCAAGAAGAAGACAATTTTCTCGAAGCCATTTCGAACATGTCGAGGCTGAGACACCCGAACATTGTCCCGCTTGTCGGGTACTGTGCAGAGCACGGCCAACGCCTTCTCGTCTATGATTATATCGGAAATGGTAGCTTGCACGATATGCTGCATTTTGCTGACGAGAGAAGCCAATTGCTTACTTGGAATGCGCGTGTTAGAGTAGCGCTTGGCACCGCTCGAGCCCTAGAGTACGTTAAACGAGCGCAATTATTTATATATTTAGCGGATTAATTCGGTTCACAACTAAACCTCGGTTTGTCAGGTACTTGCACGAGGTGTGTTTGCCGTCCGTTGTGCATAGAAACTTCAAATCGGCAAACATTTTGCTCGACGAGGAGCTCAATCCCCACTTATCCGACTGTGGATTAGCGGCTTTGACACCAAATACCGAACGCCAGGTTAGTTAATTAGTATCATTCTGCGACTAGAAAACACGTCTTGTCCACAGCTGCTAAGACTGTCGGGTGTTTGTGATAATGTGTACAGATTTCGTCGACACATGTGGTCGGTTCATTTGGTTACAGCGCTCCCGAGTTTGCGTTATCTGGAGTATATACTGTGAAAAGCGATGTGTATAGTTTTGGCGTGGTTATGTTGGAATTATTGACGGGAAGGAAGCCACTTGACAGGTTCGTTTCAATATATCTATCTATCATGCATATATATATATATATGTGTGTGTGTGTGTGTATGAATATTCACTTTGTCAATATTTTGTTTATAGCTCGAGGGAGAGATCAGAACAGTCGCTCGTTAGATGGGCCACACCTCAACTTCACGACATAGACGCCTTGTCAAAAATGGTTGATCCCGCTCTGAATGGCATGTATCCCGCCAAGTCTTTGTCCCGTTTTGCTGATATTATCGCCCTTTGCGTTCAGGTAACGCTTTTCTCACAACTCATGAGTTAACATTTCGTTTCACGTAGCAAAATAGCAACTCATTGTTGATCGAACATTTGAATGAGACGATTATCTGACATGACTGCCTATTTTCTAGTAAAAACTCGTAACGTATTTTTGTCATTTTGCGATTTGTCACAGCCCGAACCGGAGTTCCGGCCTCCCATGTCGGAAGTCGTGCAGGCGCTAGTCCGGTTAGTCCAGAGGGCTAGCGTGGTCATTCGACGGTACAGCGACGAGTCGGGGTTCGCGTACAAGACGCCAGATCACGACGCCGCCTCCGGGGACCCGCCGTACTACTAGCCTTTGCAATTTTGTAAGTAACTTGAGCAGAGGTGATGACTGGTTAAAGTTGAAGAGAGACAAGATATGGCTATATATATTATATTTATATTTATATATATGGAAGTATAGACAGTGAATTTTTTGTTTGAAGTGTAATTATGTTGACAGTTTTAACTCATCTATTGGAACAACTTGAAACACAAATAATGGCCATTTCATAAATGTAATATACTTGTTATTAAGATGAATGAGTTTAAGTATAAATCTTCTAAAATTAATGTGAGATTGGGAAGTTCTACTTGATAGGGAAAAGTACAAGGAAAGTGAAGATTCATTCATTCGAATCTCCCAACACGTGGATAGAGATTCCTATTTATAATGGTCGAGCAAATAACATAATGTTGGAATCTTGTTGACGGTCCAACATGGTAGCGGGTGTTTGGGCTCTCGTCTGCAGTAATGGTGACGAAATTTATCTGTCTTGCTAATGACACTTAGTCTTAGTGATCGGTTTCCCAACCATAGAGGTGGGAAGCATCCAAATCGGGTCGAAACTTGGGTTGTTGTACCAATAGACCTGTTGTATACCCATCAAAGGTAAATATTATGCATTTATGAGGGGAATAAGAAAAAAAAAATAGTATTTTGAAAACTAATCTCATTCAAGTCTTCCTAAGAAAAATAAGATTTTTTTTTTTTTTCTAATTTTCATGTAAGAATTCTTATATTTGTCCATTATTTTTGTTGTGCATGATTGCTTTGTTATCTTTAATTTATACTTTATTTGTCTAATTTATCTTATTGATCAAACAACCTTATTCTTCTTCGCTTATTTCTTTAATAATTTTTAATTTTAGTTTTACGTCTTGAATAATACGTTCAAGTTTCTAAATATTTAGGCATTCACTCTTTGTGTTTTATTAAATTGATAAAAAGACAGATATTATATTGTAATAGAGTCAGTATTACCCCAAACAAATAAAATGAGATGGAAGGGACATTAATTTGTATAATAAGGGTTGTATATGTACAAAAATCTCATAAATTACATCAAAAAAAAAAAAAAAAAAAAAACATTAAATCTCATCTAATGTGGAAAATGTACACTACAAGTCTACAAACATTGGAAATCAAACTAGTTAATATACTTTCTTTGTAAACAAGTGTCTGAGATTAACACGTACCGGCCCTTCACCGGAGACTCCACCGGCGGCGGCGGCAGCGGGGGATGCGTCAGTGGACATGGAAGCATTCATGGTCAAGATTCTAGCTTTATGCCAATCACCACCGCCGCCATCGACGGCGGCAGGTGACACTTTCCGCCACCCCTTGTTTCCTTCCTTTCTGAAACTTCTCTCAACGTAGCTCCGATCTTTTCTCGGACTTTTATCGGTGGGTTTCGTCAGAAACCCGTAACTCCGACCGCCGACACTCCGGCGGGCCGGCCAGACCAGGCTGCTCCGACTGGGCGATTTCTTGGACTTGAAGTCGGCGGGCGAACTGGTTCCGGAGCACGGCGCGCTGCTGGCTTTCGTCGGGGAACTCAACGGCCGAGCGCCGCCGCCGTTGCCGGCCGACTTGGTTCTCCTGAACGGCCAGATATTGATGTTCAGAACTCGCTCCGCCGCGCTGGCGCCATTACTACTACCTCCAAAAATGCCCCCGCCGCCTTTCTTGTCCTTGTTCACTTTCTCCCCGCCGGCATTCTCTCTTTTCTTATTATTATTACTCCTCTTGAAAATATCTCTCCACCGCTTGGACGAACTCAACGCCGCCGTCTCCGCCGCCGCAGCAGAAATCTCCGGGCCAGATTCTGCTCCCAACTGGGGCTGCTCTAGCTCGACCCTGGATTCGTCCGGGCGATGGGGTTGTTCCACCACGGATGACGATGATGATGAATCCACCTGGTTGGGTTCCGGAGAATGATCGGAAGGGCGGTGGAGGAGGTGGAGGGGGAGGAGGACGCCGTCGGAGAAGAGCTGATCGGCGGATAAAAGATTGGGTTTTCGGAGCACACAAAACTCGAAAGAGCTTGAACCACTGCTTCTCCTTCTTCTCCTTCTTGCTCTCCCATTTGAAGATGACGAGAGAGTTTGAGGTATTGGAGCCTCCACTTTTGCTTCTTCCATTGTTGAATGTTGAGCTTAATTATATTAATTATTGTGTTATGCAGTGAAGACTGAACAATGAGTTGATGAAGAAGACGACTCATATACTACACACTACAGAGGGTTGTCAAATTTGAATTGCCATCTTGGCGCAAAGCAGCAATCAACTTTTTTCTTCTTCTTCTTTTCCAGTTATTAAAGTAGTACAAAACTTTTGGCTTTACCTTGAGAAATGACAAAGTTTTCATGGCCTCTTTAAGATCACAGTTTTCAACCTCCATTTTCAAAATTCTAAGATTTTTAACCATAGGTAATTAATATAAATAAGTCCAACAAAATTAATATTGTTTTTATTTGAAAAAATTGCATGTGTTTGTATAATTCAGGACCTAATTGCATATTTTTTTAAAAAAATTTGATGATTTAATTACAATTTAGTGTTAAGTGGCTTGTTTGACCCTTATTCACAAATTATTCTGTGGACCAAGTAAATCCAGATCTAAATGTTCACAATTTACCTTTTAAAAATTCACAATTTGTATACTATGAAGTATGAACACACAATATTAACATATATAATTAATTACATTATTTTGTATTCACAAATAACTTTCAAATACTACACTCATAATATTAACACAATTTATACGTCGTCTAGGACCAGGATCCACTTATTCATATAATTTATTATATTCCACTAATTGTTCATCTCCGGATCTGGACCTCGAAAGTCAAAAACAGTATATTATTTTGTTTACCCAAACTTACCACAAACTCAATTATTAACTACTAAAATTATCCTAATAGAGTTGGAAAAAATCAGGTAACCAATATTAACCATAACCATTGTCACCCCGACAAATTATTGAATAAGAGAAAAAGGCAATCCTGCAGATAAGGTCCCTACAAAGCAGAAATCGTAAACTATGGCAAAGGCTGTTTGAATACACTACTCTACTGCTTTAGAAAAAGTTGACATACAGCAAGAAAAGCAAACAACAATTCTCAATGCCCATAGCTGTTGGCATGGAAGTCAGCCCCATAAAAAACTGATCCCACCCCAACTTTTCCTTCACTGTGATCACAGTTCAAATTTAAAACTGGGAGTAAAAGCACGCACCGCTTAATTAATTGGCTTTTGAGAGCTCAAAACCGCAACCACTGCTGAAATTGTTTGCAAAAGTTTACATCACAAACGATTTATTAGAAAAAGTAAAGGCAGTAGTAAGGTGTGATTTAGTGTTCTCTACATCAAAAGGCCCTCGTTCTGGGAAAGAGGACCATTTACTGTGCCTTGATTCCCTTATGATTCTGCGCCAAGCTCCAACAGTAAGGTGTGATTTACTTTATCTGCAATTGGACCCACGAATTGAATGGGACCTGCAATTCAAAAGAAGATAATAATAGTTGATACATGCATGATCTTGAATTGATTCCCCTTCCCTATTATGATACCAGATTATATGTTGAGGTAGTATAATCATTATATGATTGCATTATTACACACTAGTGTCATGTATCATGTGGGACTCTTTTCCATTGTACCAAAAAAACAAAAAACATGTGAAGTCACAGTTAGGGAGCATGTGTACAAACTTTTACACCACTAATGTAATTTACTTTAAATAGGTGAACACATACCAGGACTCAGATAACGGTTCTTTATAGCCCACTCTCCCCGCATTGATGCAAATTTCTTAAATGGTGCACCTGATAATTCATGATGCAAACAAAATGAGTCAATTTATAATTGCTTGCAACCTAGTGGGCACACTGGCCTTCCCTTAGAATGTGAAATTATTACTATCATTTTATGAAAGGTCTCACCATCAAGTTCTACCATAGCTTTCTTTATCACAGGCTTGTATTTACCTACCAAAAAAAATAATAAAGAAAAATATATTAGATAAGTAATCTAGTTTCCTAGATGAGTTAGACACAATTGGAACACTCCAGAAAAGAACCCGCCAGCATATCAATAAATTCTTTAGACAAAATTTCTTCAATGATTCAGCTTGATGACCATGGAAAAGAAAATGCATTCGTAGAGTTTTACCATGTCTTCTCTCAACATCCATCATTGCTGTTAGTGCTGTTCCGCCAACAGTCCATTCTGAAACTGGGGCAGCCAAGTTCCCAACCTGAAGATGTTAGCCAATGTTAGATGAAACATCAGACAAATGAAGACCAACCTATGAAATCTTATAATAACAATGACCAAGTAGAAAGGTTAACATTAGAATGCAAACAATAATGAGAGTAGACTGGACAACAGAGAAAAACAGTAGAGGGAATAGCACAAACCGATGATATCAATCCTGTCTTCCCACTCTGAAGCAGTGCCCCCGCACCATAACCCAATGCATAACAGTATGTGGCATCAAAGTTGGACGGCATGCCACACCTTCCTTCATAACTAAGAACAAAATAATAAAGCCAATATGCAAACAATGCTAGGTGCAAACAGTAGGTAAATGGATACAGCTTGACTTGATATATGACCCAGCAGAAAAGCCTATGGAGATAAGAAGTACCCGAAAAAGTGTGACTGCCCCTTAAATTCGCAATTATATTGACCAATTTGTTTCCTCTGATCCAACTCGGTCTCAACCATTTGAATAAGCATTTTTTCTGTTTCAATTTTGGCAACCTGCAGGCATAGACCACAGTATTACCTACTTTGTCCAGAAGTGGAGAGTTGAACTAGAGTATAAAGTGATATTATGCCATATAAAGACCTGGACATTGCCATGTGGATCTCTCTCCAGCAGCAATTGCTCCCTAATAGCTTGAGGTAATATCTCAAAAAGCTGTAGACATTGCGGACTCAATTTCTTTTTCCAAACACCAGCTTCATCTACAACATCATGAGCCAAAATTTCATTCAGTTCCGCAATGAGTTGTTGGACCTGCATAGTGGGACAACAGACATCAGGATGAGATTACGTATGTGCCAATACATATATTGGAAGTTCTGAGCAGGATTATGCTACATATATAAGACAGAAAGATAAACAAGGAAATATATGGATTTATTAACTGTTGCTGTTACCTCAGGAATGAAATCTATGAGCCCTTCAGGTATGAGTATGACTCCATAATTGTACCCCAGGTCTGCACGTTTGCAGACCACATCAGCGATGTAGCTTGTAACACTCTTTAGAGTTTGTTTCTTTGCAAAAACCTGCATTCAAAATTTCAAGGTGGAAGGCAAATAATTATCACTTACTAATTTTTTTAATCCCATTGTTGTACTTCAGGTCATCAAAAAGGCTGTCCCCAATCAAAAGATATAGAGGCACAAAATGATTGTGTAAATTTCCATAAAACTATAAAAGCCTCATACTTATAATTAAATGCATACAGAAGATCAAAATTAAATGTCATTAACTAGAGGCTAAACTATATGCATAGCTGAAGGGGAGCTTTGACCTGAAATTGTCACTGGAAATATAATAATCTTTGGAAATACTTAACATACTATGCAGATGAATAGTGAATGTGCAAGACTGCCAATAAAGACTAAATGATGAGTAATACCTCTTCTCCAATCATAGTGACATTTGGATGAGTTTGCAAAGCACACTCTAAAGTAATGTGTGACGCAGCACGCCCCATAAGCCGCACAACTGCAGTCAAATAGATATTAGCATGACCCTTGACATTCAGATAATAGGGAACAATACTATTAATAGGAAAATTTTACTTACAATGGTAGTATTTTCCTGATGACCTTGCATCTATCATGACATTTCCAATCATTTCAGCATATATCTACAGATAAAAACTGGATTAATGACACACATATAATAGAGAAAATGGGAATGTGTGTTAATTAATGAAACCTTAGGATTTGGAAAATCTTCAAAGTATTTCCCATACCCCCCCCCCCCCCCCCCCCCAGAAAAACACCCAGAGGATGATTACGAAGAAAATTTCTAGAAATCTTAAGATGTACAGAAATCAGCATCATGTAGTATGTAGTATATTATATGGGTAAATTTTCTACAGTGGGCAGTATTCCATTGTTCACCTATCAAAAAATTATGCTATAGGAATAACTAAAACTAACAATGCCCAGAAACTTGAGAACTCAACCATTGAAAAGTCTCAATAAAATTCTATTTGTTTTGGATTTTTTTCTTTTTCTTCCTTTGGTAGGGGGTACATATAAAGGTCGCAAATAGATAAAGTACTAACTATGCATGCCCATTGACTCTAAAAAAAAGAATGCAAGAGGAGAATCTATACAGAACAATGAAAAAAGAAAATTAAGTTCATAGACCCAAAAATATGTATAGCCAATTATTTTTTCCACTCTTTTAATACACTGAACTACCTCCAAGCTCTCTAAAGAATGCAACTGGCAAGGCATTAAAACAACATGGTAGACCCAATTACCTTGCATGCTGTATCAAACCCAAAACTCACAGGAACCTCCTTGCATTTCAAGTCTCCATCAATGGTTTTTGGGCATCCAATCACACGAGTTTTCATATTTTTACTCCTGACATCAAAAGGAAATTTCACAGGAAACATTGCAACAATATTACTGAAGGGTGCATAAATTTCAGCAGGGTAAGCACGCATAAAAAAGCACATCTTTAAAAGAAGTTTCTTTCTGAATAGTGGGGTACCTAAAGTTTTCAGCAAGAAGACAAGCATTTGTATTTGAGTCATCTCCACCAATCACTACAAGGCCATCCAAATCAAGCTTCTTTACTGTTTCTTCAGCTTGTTTAAACTGAAACAATTGGAGTTGGCCATTCCATTAGAAGTTCCAGTAAAAGCAACAAATAAGTCATTGACAAGCCTAGAAAACTTTAAACAAAATCCAGTATATACCTGCTCTGGAGTCTCAATCTTGTCCCTTCCACTACAAATCATATCAAATCCACCCTGGACAAGAAATGAAATCATAAGGCATGACCCACTAGTTTGAACCCATGTGTAGAATATTTAAACAGTGACTCATCATTGTTTTTTCAATCAGATCAGTACTACCGAACAAAGTAAAATACAAAATGACTTAAAGAATTAAATTCTTGCATGCACAGATTGTTTCTTTTATGGCCAAAGTTGTAATGATTTATTTATTCTTTAGGAAAAACTGTTCACATATACATTACAGTAGCTGAAACCTTAATGCAAAAATTTACAAAAGAGCAGAGATTGATCTGTATTTCAGTATCCCCACATGGCAGCCACACTAATTATAAAATGTATCAACAAGTGCAAAAACATAATAAGTCACAGAATATCAATTTGCCAATGTGCACTTTTCCCAATATTCGTATCAATGAAAATTAAATTGACAGTAGCATTACAATGCCTAAAGGATCCAGAAAGAAAGGAGCATGTTTTACCTGATTTCTATATGGGTAAATATATTCTGGGGTCAGTACCACATACTTGCACTTCATGATCCCAGCTGGTCCGCCCCTGAACCCATATAATGTGCTTCCTTTGCAATATTTCTGCAAGTAATCTGCCAACCAAAACACACATACTCAAAATGAAAAATATAGATGATATAATCTGCACCAATTAAACTCAAGTACAAATCAAGATCTAACCAAAAATTCCAGAGATAACATTATGTCCTCCAGGAGCTTGGCCTCCAGATAAAACCACCCCAATCTTCAAGCTCTGGCCCATTGCAACGTCACCTGAGTCATCCGGTACCAATGCTGCTGATGGTTGTCCAAATAGGCAAGGAAACAGCTTTGCTATCTCCTCTACAATAAACAAGCCAAGTCTATTAAACTTTAAGGGTTCAAACCTCTAGTTCGATAAAGGAAAGTAACAAAACATAACCAAAGGTTTGTCCTTCCAGCAACCAAAATTGCTTGGATAAACATCTGTGTATATTTTAGTTTTGTGTACAATCTACATCCTCTTCAAATCCCAAACACATAAACTTTTATGTGCAAAAGCCCTCAACTCTGTCAATTAATACTGTAAAAGTTAGAAATGATAAACTTGCAATTAATATTCACTCACTTTGTACATGCAATCATTGTATGTTTTGAACAGAAACACAAGAATTTTTATCTTCATCTTCTTCTATCACATAATAATTCATCTCATATTCGCAGGCAGCTTATGTGTATATATGATCAGACATTATTCTTCTAATAAAAAGTGTACATGCACACACATACTATGGTAGAAAACTAAAAGTCCCCTTGTCCATGTGTGCATATACAGAGGTGAAATTTTGCACCAAATTACTGACAGATCAATTAGAACATAACGATTCATATTCGCAGGCGGCTTATGTAGACAATATTCTTCTGAAAGTGGATATGCACACAACATACTATGGTAGAAAACTAAAAGCCCCATTACTGTCCATGTGTGCATATACAGATGTGAAATTTTGCACCAAATTACTGACAGATCAATTAGAACATAACGATTCATATTCGCAGGCGGCTTATGTAGACAATATTCTTCTAAAAGTGGATATGCACACAACATACTATGGTAGAAAACTAAAAGTCCAATTATTGTACATGTGAGCATATACAGAGGTGCAATTTTGCACCAAATTACTGACAGATCAATTAGAACAAGGCGACTATATCGTTCTAGGTAACTAAACCGTCAAATATACTTAAGTACAGACAAAATATACACACAAACCTGCATATATGATATATCAGTAAAGAGAGAGAGAGAGAGAGAGTAAGGAAGGATACCAGGGTGGCCGGCGGCAGAGCTCGCGGGGCCATCGACAACCTTGAAGGGCTTTTTGAGGACGGAAGGAAGAGGGAGCGGGTGATCGAGACGGTTATTCTGAACTTCACTGTAAACGGAGGCGTAACGACTTGTGAAACTCTTCGCCGAGACAGTACCGCCGTTGGTGAATAGGGAAGTTGCCGCCACCGCCATGGATTGATTTCGCCGAAAACAGAGAGAGGGAGAGAGAGAAGAGCTGAGTGATAGAGAGAAGTTAACTGCCGGAACTCAAAAGCTGATGTTTCCAAAAGTAGTGTCCATTTTAAGTATCCGAGTCGGCAGTGGGCGGAGTGGAGAGGGCAAAACCGTCAGCTGGAAACTCCACCAAAATGCGCTCCTTGTTTGGTTTAGCCGGATAGGTGTCAAGTGATTGCGGCATACAAATAATGTCAAATATTCGCCCCTACAAATACGTTAATTATCAATGTCACACAAATTATTAATAGTGTAAATATTATTTATCAATTTTTAAAACGTAACATATATTACTCTTTCCCTAATAAGAATAAGGAGAAACATTATTGTCGGCGAAAGAAGAACAAACAAAGAAAGAAAATTGGAAGGAAAAAATATGGTCTTTGAAAAGGAAAAACGACGAGTAACCATATTTACACCACTAATAATTGAGGGAAACAATATATATCACGTTTTGAAAATTGGATGGCAACATTTACATCACTAATAATTCAGGAGTGACATTGATAATTGACATATTTGTAAAGAACATAAATTATAAATTTTTTCTTAGTTTTATTTACAAAGAAGTCTGCATTCATTATCAAATATGAGTTTATGTGAAATTTATTTTGTAATCTAACCAGTAAAAGATTACAAATATATAAATCAGTCTAAATTATTCATAACTAACTAGTTCAAATCAAAAAAATCTCCTATTACTCGACTAAAGTTATCTTCTCTTCTACTTATGTTAGTTGAATTATAAGCTCTGACTCATTTTATATGTCTAATTTAATTAACGGAACATAACTCATTCAAATTTTCACAGTTCACACACTCACAATGTTGATATTTTGTAAGTTTTAAATATTTAATTAGTACACATAGCCACAAAGTCAGCTTAGGGATGACTGATTAGTCATTATTATTATCTATATCCCTCATTGTGGACCCCTTTTGTAGGTTAGGTTGATGAAATTGTGAAAAACACTGGGGGTGAAATGGTCTATTCTACTTTCCAATGATTTTATCCCAATTATGTCTATTCTCCTTTATTTTATCACTTTTAGCACCACAACAATTACCTAATTAAATCTCGAGAGAAAAAAAATGTCACATTTTTAGTTTAAAATCATATTGAAACGAACCGTCAATTCTTATGAAAAAAATGTATAAATACTATATATACATAATACAATCCAACATGCAAGAATGGCACTTGAAATGTACACACACTGACACACACACACACTTATTCATTCATCAACTCTCTGAGCATGAAACAATGGCTGGGGCTGCCTGAAGCTGCAAATGTGAAATGACTCTATGAATCGCAAGTCGGACACCCGAGCCTTTGCAGCAGCGAATCTCTGGTACTCGTCGAAGATTGAAGTGAGGCACCATCGCTGCAGTTTTCTCAAGCACCCCACGAGGCACCCGGTCCTGTGCTGCACATCAGAAACGATAGTTCAGTCACAAACTCACATTATCGCCTCTAGTTATGGTGACCCGAACAATGGAGAGCATATAGATGTGCGTTTACTGACTGGAGAAATGAAAAACCGGGGGAGGGGGAACAGGAAACATAGGATTGAAGTAAAACGTATAGCAACCTTTCCTCGTTTGCAATGGATTAGCAGTGGATGGTTCCTTTTATCTGCAAGGGTAAAGCAGAGGTGATTGAAGAGTAGAAGAAAAGGCTATTCGGATTTCAGATTTTCAGATCATATGAATATTAGCATACCAAGGACAACTTTTAGTGCTTCTCTAATCATGTCTGCCGGGATGTTTACAAATGGTTCCTGGACAAAGAATAGCTAGGTAAGGCTTATAACACAATGCCATACCAGATGCAGCTAGAATCATGAAGAGTCAGAACTCAAAAAACGATATTACAAGACATGCCTAAATATAAATGTGTAGTCTCGGAACTTTTGTTAAGACGGAACACATCCTTCAATTTCTACTATGTATTACATTTCAGAACTAGAATCACGAGGAGTCAGAAGGCGGGATTGAAGCACGTTGTTTGGGTTCACCCAAAGCACAAGACTAGTTTGCAAACTCAACCAACACAACAATGTCCTTGAAAAACCAAGTCAGTGTCAACAGCCAAAAAGATATCTTTTTGTTTTTATTTTTTTGGGTGACGAGGGAAACTTACAACTACTAGATTAGGGTGTGCACTGGATAAACTCCGCCTTGTGACCCTAGCTGTCAAAGGACCACAAAGAGATAAAAGCTGACCGGTTCAAATCAAGAATGCCAAACCAACTTAGCTTGGGTGTCAAAAAGATATCTTGGCTGCAGTTAAGCTTTCCACATCAATCAATCATCATTAAGCATCATACTTCACAACTTACAAAGGATTGCACCCGAATCCTAAGAACTCCCACCTATCCCCGTCCTAAAGCCTTAACTAGTAGAAGGGGTAAATCGCAAGACATGACTCAACGATTTGTGCCCTCGATAAGAATCGGCATCAGGCATCTACACTCTATGTTTGTCACTTTAAATTGGTCAATCAGATAAGCTATGCTTTGAGATACTTCAAAACTTACAAGACACATGAGCAAAGGAGAGTCAAGCTAAAGTTTTGCACTTTCTAAATAGGGCATTCAATCATTCATCAAAACAAATCTTCCCCAAATCATTTCTTGTTTCTTTCTAATCATCAAGAAGATATACAACCATGGCCCTCTAAGGTTTTCTAAAATGATTGCAGCAAGAACACTATCACATAACGTTAACCAAATATTCTCATAACTCACATCCTTAATTCCAAAAACGAAGCTATCAACATCAACACCATGCTTAACTTTCCAACAAGTGTAAGGCTTCCCTTTTTTTGAGCTACGAGGGAAACTCAAATCCACTATCCTAAGGTATCCACGGGATAAACCCTATCTCTTGACTCTAGCCAGTAACAGACTACAAGGAGGTAAACCAAGATTAGGTTGCACATAGCTGATCAGCTCAAACTAAGAAGGCCAATAAGCCACTATTGTACGGGTTGAACTTGTAATCTACCAACTTGATTGGGGTTGCCGGGGTTTGTGCACAAGGTTGTATGACATGATTACAACATATGGAGATGTGTTTAAATATGTAGTACTGAAATCTATCTTACATTCTTAGTGCAGGAACAAACAAATTAACAAACAAGCAAGAAAATGAAACCTTGGATCCGTCGATGCCAAACTGAAAAAGGCGGATTCCATTTGCATTGAGGAACTCAACATTAGCTTGAGGGTAGGGCTCAGGGCACAAACATCTATATGCATACAACAATCCATATCAAATTAAACACCTTATTACAATTATTGCAAGTTTAGTTTAGATTTTAGAAGCGCCAAAACGGGAAACTGGACTCACATGATCGAACGGAGGCCGAGGGTCTGCAGGAAATCGAAGTTGTCAGTGTCGGGGAAGCCGGAGCGGAAGACGCCGTGATCGACCATCGCGAAATTCAGCGGCGGCACGAAGAGCTCGTCGCCCTCGTCTTCGCCGGCGTGACACACCGGCGGCTCGTGATTCTCCAGCTTCATCGCTTTCGCCCCCAGAGAAATGCTCCGCCGTATACGACGGCTTACGGATACCTACGCCTGCTTGCGAGCTTGCCGGTGTTGTGAAAGCACAAGTATGCGCAACTTATATATATGTAGGAGAGAGAGAGGGGAAAGAAGAAGGAGATGAACAGATGAAAATCGGCGGCGGAATCGAACCTTGGAGCATACGAGAATCCCGCCGAAAGGCGGCTGGTTAAACGGGGCGGTGAAGATTGGATGGAGCTATGGAAGATGTCAGGGAGTGTGATGGATATATGATGAAAGGTGAGGGCAAAATGGATAACTGTTTTGAGTCGATTGACTTCACTTTGACAGTAACGGAAACTGTGGAAAAATAATATTCTCAGCATATTCTTACACTAATTTTTTTTTTTCAACTCATTTACATTAAATTTTATTTCATCTCCAATTTATTTACACTAAATATTCATACACTAAAATAATTTGTATTCTTATAATTTAAAACTTTTATATATATATATATATTACTGTTTCCGTTACAATGCAACTATTGTCTTCACTACTTGAACCCGCAACCTCCCATATGAAAGAGCAACTTGATGCTACTAGACCACAATGTCCTTAGCTTGTAATTTAAAACTTTAATTTTATTTACTTTAATTATTTTAATATAAAATATAATTTTGATATAAATAATAATATTTTAAAATAAAATTTATGTTTTTATGTATTTAAATTTTTAATTATTTTATAGTCAATATTAATATCGTTTTAAACTTCTCATTGAGATATTTAAATTTTTATAATTTAATTTTAATAATATAAATTTTTAAAAGAAACAATTGACAACAAAATTTTAAAAAATTTTACAATAAGGTGTAAATGAATAGTGTTACGCCATATTTGGTGTAACACTATTCATTTACACCATTTTAGTGTAGAATTTGGTGTCTTCCTTAGAAGAAGGTTGCACCAAAATGATATTTTGGTGTCTTCTTTGGAGATGGTCTTACAGCACGTTTGGTTCACGGAATGAATTTTGAGGTAATAGGAATGCTATTCCATAAGGAATAGAATAGGCAAGGAATAGAATACGATTTGTATTCTATTGTTTGGTTCGCGGAAGGAATAGACTTTAGGAATTATATTACAGTGTTTGGTTGATTTAAGGAATAGAAATGAAATATGTTTTAAAAGACATAAATACCCTTATAAAAATATGTAATGGTGGCGATGGTGGCGGTGGTGGCGGTGGCAGTGGTGGGGGCGACGGTGGTGGTGTTGACGGTGACGATTGTGGCAGTGGTGGTGGGGGCAGCGATGGTTGTGGCGGTGGTGGTGGTGGTGGCGGTGGCGGTGGTGCTGCTGTGTGGTGGTTCTGGTGGCGGTGGCGGCAATGGTGGTGGCGGTGGTGGTGATGGTGGTGGTGGCGGTGGCGGTAGTGGTGGTGGCGGCGGTGGCAGTGGTGGGGGCGGTGGCGGTGGCGGTGGTGGGGGCGATGACGGTTGTGGCGATGGTGGTGGTGGTGGCGGCGGCGGCGATGGTGGTGGTGGTGGCGGCGGTGGCGGTGATGGTGGTGGCGGCGGCGGCGGCGGTGATGGTGGTGGCGGCGGTGGCGGCGGTGATGGTGGTGGTGGCGGCGGCGACGACGGTGGTGAAATAGGATAAATTTATATATATGATAAAAAAAAATTAGGTTAAAGAAAGGGGTAAAAAATGAAATAGATTCTAAAGTCTATTCCTGAGCGTTCAGTAATAGGCTAATACCAGGGGGCCCTAGTAATAGCTATTACCTTATTTGAGGTAATAGGCTATTACCAGGAATATTATTCATGGTAATAGAAATGGTTACCGAACAACAGAATAGGCCTATTACTGGGAATGCTATGCCATTCCCGGCCTATTCCGTGAACCAAACGGGCCATTAGTCTAGGAATATTCAAAGAGTTAAATCACAAATCATCCAAGTCCTCAATTTTTATCCTTACCTATTTTTGATACATTAAGTTTCTTATTTTATGCTAAACTAATTCTAAGCCTTATAATCCTTGTCTAAGAGCGCTGAAGGGGGTGAATCACAAATTACCCAATAAATCATTTGTTTCTACCCTTACTTGTTTTTTTGTTTTTTTTTTGTTTTTTGTTTTTTGTTTTTTTTTTTTGTTTTTTTTGGGGGGCGGGGGAGACAAACAATGTCACTACTCAAGTGTGTGTACGAGTAAATTTTACTTCTGACTCATCTGTAATGACATATATGCAAATTGACTATGTATAGAGACATGCAAATCACACATAAAAAATTATAATCAAACTCATGACTTTTAAGTATGAGAATCATGTTCGACTTACTCAGACACACCTAAAAGGTATCAAATTTTAGTTTTGATTGTATTGATATGAATTAGTACCAAATGATTAAAGAAAGTGAAGATAACAAGAAAATGGTTGTATACTTGTATGAGGCAAAAGTATTGATATTCATATATGCATTAGTATAGTGCGTTGCCTACTAGATAATTGTATGAATATAAGGTTGCTCCTATCTCTGTAAAGATAGGGCTTGTAAGTTCACATGGCAATTTCTTTTTTTTTTTTTTTTTTTTTTTTTTTTTTTACTACTTGGCTTGCAAGCTTGCTAAGAGCATTTTCAAGCGATGCATTTTTTTTTTTTTTTTCAGAGCCAGTAGAAAATAGTGGGAAGGAGAGATAAAAGATGAAAAAAAAAAAAGAGAAAAGCAAAAAGGCTAATGGCATCCGAGTTGGACTCCCATATGGGAGGTTGTGAGTTCATACCTCAGTGGAGCCGTTATTGGCTAGAGTCAGTAGCATTAAAAAAAAAAAAACAATTAATGAGTCTACTTTGTTTTTTTTTTTTTTTGTTGTTGGGAATGCTCTAATTTAGCAAGGTTGCAAATAAGTAGAGGTGTCAAAGTGGGCCAGCTCGTCACACTGTGGGCTTAATTTTTCGCAGATTTTTGCTAATCGGCCTGTGGATCGGACTAGAGTTCATGTGATCCTAGCCCGCCCCACGCGGGTTGGCAAGCCTCGTGTTTTTTTTTTTTAAATTCTTAAATTAAATCCCTTGCACAGCAGACCCCTTCGCCTTACTGCTTTCTTTCAAATCAATTCAATCTCAATCCTAATTCCTAATCACAAATTTCAATTTCCTAACAGATCCAGAACAAAAGTATGATTCCTTACTAAATACTCATAGTTATGTTGTTTGAAGGTTACAAATATTAGGGTTAGGTATCCATCAATTTAACATTATTCAAATATACGTTATGAATTCATCTAAAATGATATATGTATCAATATCAATTTCAATTTCATTTATCTAAAAAGAGTATACTCTATAAGAGTTGCATGCTTTTTATTATATACTCCGTATATCTATTAGGAAGTCTATACTTCTTGTTAACAACTAATGTCATAAGAGTTGTATTTTTTTTTTTTTGAAAGTCATAAGAGTTGTATTTATGTCATGTAATCTGTGTTTTTCTTTCATCATATCCCTCTTATAAAACTAAGACAAAAAAAAAAAAAAAAAAAAAAAAGACTGGATTGTTTTGTGTAAATTAACATGAGTATAAAGATATAGATATATGACAAAGTATTTAATGTGACAACTCAATTGGAAATATATATATATATATATATATATATATATATATATATATATATATATATATATATGAATCCTTTTCAGCTATAATCAAATGAAAATGCACTATTATTGATATTGTCTAGTACTTGTACAAGTAAAGAGACTAAGTAATGGATATCATAGTACTCAAAAAAACAAAAAATAAAAAAGTAATGGATATCATATTGAGATATTGGTAGGCCGATTGACTATCTACTTTGTTTGGTTAAAGTAAAATTTAATAGTTTGATGATTTTTTATTTATAATTCAGAAAATGTAGACAAACTCTTCAACTTGTCTTGACAAGCTAACTAGGCAACATGGTAGGCTAACTGTGTGGTTAACCTGTCAAATGTAGTAATGAGGTGTGTCACATGTCTAGACTTAGGCCTATTGATCGGTGAGCTATTGAGCTCAATTAGACAAACCTAACCCAGTGAACGTTAGATCTCATAGTCTCTTTCTCTTGGATGGCATATCTCATGAATTAGATACCTTATATGTAAAACTCATGAACTAATCATGTTTAGATATTAAACACCTCATAATGAGTTAAGCTTAATAATTCATCATAAGTAATGCTATTTAGCTCAAAAAGGTCCATTTTTTTTTTTCATTTTGGTATATAGTTGGAGGGTCTATTTAACCCTTATCTTTTTTTTTTCTTTTTTTTTTTTTAAAATGAAATAGAAAACAATTACTAATTAATGAGCTAACACATATAGAACAAAAACTTCATTCTCGATTCTAGTTCATCATCACATTGAAAAAAAAAAATTATGTCTCTAAACAGCCAACTAAAAAAATGCAATTAGGTCCCTCAAACTATCTAAAATTATGCAATTTGATTAAATTTGACATATTATCTAGGTCATCACTAATGTGGTGGTCATTCTATTACAAATATTTTTTTAAATTTATTTTAATAATTCTAAATAAAATAAAATAGAATTTAAAAATAAAAAAAAAAACAAAAACAAAAAAAAAAAACCTCACCCCCTCCTCGTCTTCATCTCTGGCTTGGAGGGGAAGACGGAGGGGAGGAAGGTTTCCTCTTTTTTTTTTATTTGGTATTTTTAAAATTTTATTTTATTTAAAATTAATTTTTTTAAATACTTTTTAATAGAATAACCGTCGCGTCCACGATAATTTGATGAACAAGTCACATTTAATCAAATTACATAATTTTAAATAATTTAAAAATTTAATTACATTTTTTTGAGTTGATTGATCTAATTGTACTTGTACGTATAATTTAGTGATTAATTTGAATTTTTTTAATAAATAATTGTGATCAATTATTGAGAGTAAACAAAACAAACCAAAAATAATAATAATAAAAAATCCATGCGTCCTATTACAGTACATAGAGCCGCAAAAGAGATCCGACCTTTGAAATATTGGCTCAACAGCGCGATGCCACCTTGACCTATCGCTATCAGACGCGTGCACCCAACGCCAGCTGACTTTTGACTCTGCGATGGATATGTATTCACTTCTACGTGTAAGTGTGTAACTATTTATTTTAATATATAATTTAGATTTCTCCTAATATAAATTATAAATTTGAATTTTGTTTTATTAAAAATGTTACTCGATTTAAGTAATTAATCACTCTACCGGGTGTTTGGTTGGAGAGAATTACAATTTCATTCCCACCTGATTTTTACATAATTACGAATGCAAGTAAATTCATTCGTTTGGTTGGAGTGAAATGTAATTTCATGAAATTAAAATTCCCCCATTTTCAAAGATTAGAATCCCATGCCCTTTGATATTTAAATTTAATGAATTTTAGGAAGAAAAAAATAACTTTAAGATAAAAATCATCTTCCTCCTTTTTAACCTAAAATTGATATTTGACCTCTTTTTTTAATTATAGCTTGTCGTCTTCTTCTACTCTCAACACAGAACGTCAATTAGCAGTCCAACCTCAATCAAATATGTTTGTCCAAAACTCTCTTATTTATTTTATTGCTTTTGTTATGCAATTTTCTGATTTTTTACAAGTGTTATATAAAATTTCACAAGCAAAGTTTGAATTTGCTCATTTACAATTTATATTTATAATAATAATAATAGTAATAATTTAAGGAATTGATAATTTACAATTAGCCCATGAACCGATTTGATAATTTATTAAGGAATTAATTCTATGTATTAAGGAATTAATGTACCAAAATAATAATGATACATTAACATAATTGACGAATATAATTGTTTTACTTACATTTTTCTTTGAAAAAATCATACAAATTTACACTATATTCTAAATGGATTGAAAATATTGACTTGTGACCGTGAAAACAACAAAACAACTTCAATAACAAACATTGTATATAATGAAATTTTTCCAAAATTTATAAAACTTTAACCTTATTATATTATCACATTTTAATATTATTAATATCATTATTATTATTTTTTTTAACTTTCTAACACAAATGTACAAGAATAGTAATGAAATTCTTCATCTTTTAATTCCTAAATATTTTTAATTCCATACTGCTACCTAATTTTTTTTTTCCTTTGAAACATATTTATTTTACAATAAAAAACTTACCTAAATCAAATACGGGATCAAAACAATTCTAAATCCAGAGATTTAATTCCAATTTTATTTCACAGCTTAATGTATTTTCAAAATTATTTTCCTTGTTTTCCATATTTATTTTAGTATTAATATAATTGCCTAAATCATATCATAAAACTGATTTTTTTTTCAACATAATTATAGACAATCAAGTCATATATTATTCAATTAATTGGTGATACTTTTGCACTAATCTTATAATCAAATAAATCTACACTTTCAAATATTAGAATTGTTAATAAAATAATTATCCGTGCATCACACATGTCATTTACTAGTTATTGTTAATGTGTAAACAAAGAAATTCTACAGAGAATGTGCTAACAATAATTAACAAAGAGGTTCGACAGAGAAGATGCTCAATTACTTTTTTCAGCACAAGTAATTAAAAGTTCTTTTGAATCTCCAAGAAATTGTTTATTGAACTTCTTCTGATTAATGCGAATAATTTAGATTGATTTAGTTTTTCATGTTTTACATACTAGGTTATAAAATGAGCTTTCAAATTACAGTTTCAAATAGTTGTAAAATTTTCTGTAAATAAAAGGAAATATAATGTGATTAATTGTCTGATTGATATCATTGATTAAATTATGATGAAGGAGAGGCTTTGAAAAAGAAGAAAACTGATTTTCAATTAACAATGGAGTATTATAGCATTAATTATCAATCCAATTCACCCATCGTTGTCAAGGCGTATTAGATAATGATTGCGTGTTCAACAATACAATCGATGTCCATTTACTATAATCATCTCTGTTTGTGAAGCGATCATGTACAGAAACCCGGAGAAGGAGAAGCCATGGAAGAAGGAGCAGAGGTCCCTCTGAGGATTACGACGATCAAAGCCTCATCACCACCGTCACTGCCATCGGAGCACTCCGCCGAATTGAGGAGCTTCAAATCCGATCTCAAATGGCTGTTCCTCGACCAATCCAGCGTGTACAGCGCCGCCCTTTCCTGGTCGCTCTTCTTCATCTTCGCCATAGCCGTCCCCCTCGTCTCTCACCTCGTCTACGCCTGCTACGGCTGCGATACGGTGCACCAGCGGCCGTTCGACGGCATCGTGCAGCTGTCGCTCTCGGGGTTTGCGACGCTGTCGTTCATCAGCCTCTCCGCCGCCGCCAGGAAGTATGGGCTCAGGAGATTTCTGTTTCTGGATAAGCTGTGTGATCAGAGCGAGAAGGTTCAAGAAGGATATACTAATCAGATTCATGTAAGTCCAATCCCAGCCTGGTGTTGTATTCTCGAATTTCTTTCTTTAGGACATGCCAAATTGCCAATCTTATCTGTTTTCTGATGAAAAAATTGAATGTTGATTATTTAAGTAATGATATAAATTTTTTGGGGTTTCTGTGTTTCAGTTATGTCTGCATATAAAAGTTGTGTTACAAGTGTTCTGCAGCAGATTTTGTTAGAGTTTAATCCCTGCACTTTGATCCATTGATGAAATTTGAGTTTTGATTAGTACCTGGTTTTCATTTGTTGTTCTCGTCTCGTCTCATATGTACGGGAGGATGATAGTTGTTGGACGGAATCTATCTGGTTACATTTTTACTCTTTTGTTGCGTATCATGGGGTGGGTCGGGGCTGTCCCCCCGGGTAGTTTTACCTTGTCTAGGGCATCATATAAATATGGTGCACCTAATTCTGGATGTTCTACCATCACAATTAATAAAAGAACTGCCGTGAATGTGGACAAATTGTCAAACCACGTAAATCTTGTTTTCTTTACTTTTTTGCCATTACTTTCGATTCTTGTTCTTGTTAATCACAACTCACTAATGTCAAGATTCCCTTGTTGCAGCAGCAAATTTTATTAGAAGTTAATCACTGCCCTTTGAGGCTTTGATCCAATGATGAAAATTAAAATTTGATTAGTTAACTAATGATCTAATTTTCTGGGATTTCACTGATGTCAAGATTCCCATGTTTTCATATAAAAGTAATGTTAAATGTGCTTGAGGAAATTTGATTAGGATTTAATCACTGCGTTTTGATCCATTGATGAAGCAGGCATCAGTGAAGATCCTATCAGCTTTTGTTCTCCCCATTTTCGTAGCGGATTGTGCCTACAAGATCTGGTGGTTTGCCTCAGGAGGTACCCAAATCCCGTACTTCTATAACCACTACTTGAGCAATGCCATTATCTGCATACTGCTGCTGTGTTCATGGCTGTACCGAACAGCGATTTCGCTCTTTGTCTGTGTCCTGTTCCGGCTGATATGTTACCTCCAGATACTAAGACTGGAAGACTATTCTCGGGTTTTTGAGAAAGAGGCTAATGTTTCTGCAATCTTGATAGAACATCTTCGTATCAGACGAACCCTTCGTGTCATAAGCCATCGCTTCAGGTTCTTCATCTTGACGACTCTTATACTAGTCACAATCAGTCAGTTTATGTCCTTGCTTGTTACGATGGAGTCTAGCACCAATACCAACATCTCTACAGCTGGAGAGCTTGCGGTATTAACTATCCCTTCTGATGAATCTGAATCTAAGCCTCCTACTGATAGTTTTTCGTGTTGGGACAGACATAATCACATAAATAACAACATTTGACTATTTGTGCAGTTATGTTCGATTACTCTGGTTACTGGGTTGTTCATATGCTTGAGGAGTGCAGCAAAGATCACACACAGGGCCCATGCTCTCTGTTCCCTGGCGGCCAAATGGCACGCCTGTGCAACTCTTAGTTCATTCGAGTTTGACAATGAGACTCCCTTGTCTCGGACAGAAACGCCTCCGATGATATCTCAGGCGAGTCTCGCAAACTGGGACAGTGATAAGGAGGAAGGATATGAAGACGATGAACTGGATGACACCAACATGATGGCTGTTAATGCCCATACTGTATCGTACCAGAAAAGACAAGCGCTTGGTGAGTACCGGGAACACTATTACTACACATGAAATTTTGATGTTAGAATTGGATGTTTACCGAATTTAATTTGGATTCTGTGTGCAGTGACATACTTTGAACACAACAAAGCTGGAATCACTGTATATGGGTTCATGCTAGATAGGAGTTGGCTGCATACAATATTTGTGATTCAGTTATCTCTTACGCTTTGGATACTCAACAAGACAATTGGTATTTCGTGATTTCCCCTCAATCCCATGTATGCTGCATCACTTTGCATGTATATATATATATATACAAAACCCATTACGTACATTGCGTGATTTGCCAAATTTTGAAAGCACTTGCTGTATTTGGTATATGGGTTTCTTAAAGTTGGAGTTTTTGGAGTCAAGATATGGAGGTATTTGCACTAATGGAGTGTATGTGTATTTATATCAGTGTCAAAAGTTGCAGGGTTGTTTTTTGGCTTTTATACGCCTTTTTTAAAAAAATAAAGATTTGGATCATTTCTCTATTTGTGCTTGTCATCATTATGTGGGCATGCTAATATTGGATTATCTCCAGCTTGGAATACGTTTCCACTCCACATTCATCACACATATTACAGACTGTGATTTTACTCGAGAAAGAATTGCAAGGCTGAAAAAAGTTGAGAGCTTTTTGCAGAAAAAAATAAAAAAAGCACTAGCATAGCAATCTGCATCTTCTAATTTGCTGCGTAATGCTTCTAACTTAACAACGATCTATGATTAGCGGGACAGAATTGAAAATCATACATTCATTCATATATAAATACATATATAAGGCAATTGCTTGCTCAAATACAGACTTCTATGAAATGCAAATATATATATATATATATATATTGCATTTCAACTTAATTCTTATTATGATTATATCGTCTTCTTGATCTCCATCTTCATGTTAGGCTACCTGATAAATCTTCGACTTTAAAAGATTCTGCACATTAGAAAAACTGCAGTTATAAAACTATCAATACGTGTAGAAGTGGAACCGACAACTTGTACTCTAAAGAGAGTTTGGTTCTTCTTAAACAATGTCTCGGATTTGAGTCTTGTGAATAGAGGGAGCTATCCCTATACGGGGGTTACTAGATGTTCATGATACTAGGAAAAAAGAAAAAGTGAGTCGAACTTGAGTTATATAGAAATATAGAATAGAATTGTGTGTGTGTGAGATGTTGATAAACTTGAAAGGGGAAAATTTATACTTGCTGCAATTCACGTCTGGCCCGGTGAGTATAGGTGAATAGGTGACATTGCAGGTATGAACAATTTGAAAGGCTCGGTCAGCATCAGCTCCACTTTGAGTCCCATCTTTCTGGAGGCACTTGCAAAGTGCTATCTTTTGCTTCCTGTTGAACTTCAGGCCTATCACGAGTCTTTGCAGTGACAGACAACCTTGGCAGCAATCGTCTGGGATGAGCTCGGTTACATTCACCAAGAACGCCTTGCAGGGCGACAGGTAGTTGAGAGCTGTCTTACATGTACTGTTTGCATCCACAGCTCCCGTTACAATCACAGCCATGATCACCACCACCCCCCATACCTTCATCACTCCCATGATGTTTCCCGAGGTTTGCCCTGATTTTGGTTTTTGTTGTGGTGCAGCCATGCCTGTGGACGGGTATTTATAACAGATGAAAAGGCGGTCAACACGGGTGCAGTGAGTGCAAGAATGGAGTGGGTTGTTTTGTTTTGACATGATAGCTTCAGAATGAGAAGAATGAGTGGGAATATAATCATTTGGCAGTGTACCTGTCAAGATAAGAACAGAAATGGAAGACTTCTTCCCTCACTCCCCCATTATGCTCCACCTTCATTTTTGTGGAGTTTCCACCTTCCATTCTGAGATTCAACTTTTCTTCTCTTTCATGGCTGCTCTTCTTCCTTTTCACCATGGATGTTCCACTTGTTTCTCGTCTCGAGTTTTCTTGCTCGGGGCTCGGGCTGCCATTCTGTAAACCAGAGGGCATTTGATGCTATTGTGCACTCTCTGTGTCTGCCATTGCCTCTCTGGTTTGGCCAGGAAATATGGGGTTGAGAAATCTCTGTTTCTTGATGAGTTATGTGATGAAAGTGAGAAGTTTTGACAATGATTTTCTTTCCCCTTTCCTGAGGTTATTATGTTTTTCTGCCTAGGTTATTTTGAAAAAGTATTGATGCTAATCAAGATTCAAGAATAGACTTTAGTCTATTTCGACAATAACTTTCTTGTAATGTTTTTAAAGGTGATTTTTTAACTAAAAATTTCACCTAGTCTATGCTAAATTTAGTAATTTTTATCTTAATATCACATCATAATCTAGTGGCATACTCCATACTTTTTCCAACTTTTAATATGCAATATTAACCTATGGTCATGTTTGGTAAAATAGTTAGCTTATAAGTCAATTTTGACTTATTTGACCACTATTAGCTTTTTGATTTGGTTAAAAAATCATTATAAGTGTTTGGTTAATTAACTTTTTGTAACTTTAAAATGCTGAAATTCAAAAAGTTTCTAAAAACAACTTTTTTAATTAGCTTCTTGAGAAAGGAAATTATACAAAATAATTATTAGCTAACAACTAATTTACTAAATACTTTTTTACAATCAGCTAATGTAATCGATTAATTATACTCTCTAATTAATCCAATCAGCTAATAAGCTATCAGCTAACAATTATTTATCAAATAGGGCCTTGTATTTCTTTTAAGAAACCATTTAAACCTCAACTTTTTCATTTCTCATTAAATGTATCGAAATAATTTTTTCTTATTTGGATTCGAGCTTCAGTAACAGTATTGACTCTTTGTATTTCAATAGGTTGAGAAAATAGTTATGAACAAATAATATATTGTAACATCAGTAGTACCCAACAAAAGTTAATAATATAAGAAAATTTACGGTATTGATCAGCGCTAGTGCATCTTGTACGAATTTAAAAAGTTTTTACATTTGTACTTATGATGCACATTAACTTAAAGCATAATGTTATTCTAACTCAAAGATATTATCTTACTTCAAAAGTTTCATTATTCTAACACATAATGTACATTATTCTAATACATAAAATACGTTATTCTAATACATAATGTGTGTTATTCTAACATAAAAGTACATTATTATAACTCAAAATATACATTATTCTAATTTATAAAATTCAACAACGACGTCGTTCTGGACCATGATCCACGCAATAATTTGCAACAGACATCTCGTGCAAGAATATGCACGACACAACCTGCAAACCATTAAATAAAAGAGAAACAGATACATTTATTAATGCAAATTTCTACTACACTTCAACTTAAACATTACAACTACTATTTTGCGGTCACAATCCCCATCCTTCAAATTAGGGCATCTCTTGATACTTCATTAATCCTCAGCTTTAGAATATTCTGCAAGCCACAAAATTAAACCACAGTTATATATATATATATATATATAGGATTCCGTTCAGGTGAGAATGCCTCGTCCAGGAGAGAAATTAGAATCACTCACAGCCGTCTACGTGTCTAGATCTAACGGATCAAAAATACTGCTTTATAAAAAAATGCGGTAACATCAAAGTGCAAGTAACCGTTTCATATAGTGCACCTAAGTGCAAGTAAAATGTATTACAAGTGCCATCAATATTAAGTGCACCTAAGTGCAAGTAAAATGTATTACAAGTGCCATCAATATTAAGTGCACCTAAGTGCAAGTAAAATACATTACAAGTGTCATCAATATTAAGTGCACCTAAGTTCAAGTAAAATACATTACAAGTGTCATCAATATTAAGTGCACCTAACGTTATAATTAGTTGCACCAGACGTTATCATTAAGTGCACCTATGTGAAAGACTTTATCGTTAGATGCACCTAGGTAAATTACTTGCACTTGTAAGTGAAATTAGTTGCACTTGTAAGTGATTTTACTTGCAAACTTGCACCACTTACTTGCATTTGTAACACATTTTACTTGCACCAAAGTTTGAGTTATTTACAAAAATATCACCGCGTATTTTTTTAAAATTACGTCCGATTCGTTGAATATGGACACGTGGACGGCTGCGATTGGTTCTTAGTTACGTTCTCTCCTAGGCTCCCTTTCTCACAAGAGCGTGCCCATATATATAATATAGACTTATGCTCAAATGCGGTTGTACCTTCCCGTGTCGGGGTGTGGCCGCTTGAAAAATGCACCAATAGTGTTAGAAAAATGCACAACAATAAAATGCATAAATACACCAAAAAATGCACGACACACCTAAAATAATGCACCATAACTCCCCACACCTAATTGTGCATTTTCGAACACTGCGTGGTACTTTTATGCATACCTAATGGTGCATTTTTTGTGATATGTACCTAATTTGTACATCTTATTGTTGTGCATTTTCTAACATTGTTGGTGCATATTTGCATAACTATTGGTGCGGCCGCACTGACCACACGTTAAGGCACGGTGCACCTGATATATATATATATATATATATATATATATATATATATATATATATATATATATATATATATATATATATATATATATATATATATATAGCATCGCGTTTAGGTGAGAACGATGCGTCCAGGAGAGAAATCAGAACGCATGACATCTGTCCACATGTCCAGATCTAACGGATCAGAAACACTATTTTTTTTTTAAAAAATGTGGTGGCATTTTCGTAAATAATGAACATCGAAGTGCAAGTAAAATGTACACTGAGCATCAATATTAAGTAAACCTAACGTTATAATTAGTTGCACCTAACGTTATCATTAAGTGCACCTAGGTGCACGAATGTTAACAAGGTAAATTACTTGCACTTGTAACATATTTACTTGCACCAAATTTTGAGTTATTTACGAAAATGCCAATGCATCGTTTTTAAAAAATTACATCTGATTCGTTGATTTGGACACGTGGACAACTGTAAGTGATTCTTATTTTATATATATATATATATATATATATATATATATATATATATATATATATATATATATATATATATATACACACACGTATGAAGACGACACCGTTTAGATGTTGCCTAACCCTAACCCTAATCCTACACACTTTCGGATTTTTGGACGGGTCGGTTTACAAAAACCTTCACCAACCCAATGAAACAAATCCGACCATCTTAATGGTTTGGGTCGATCAGTTTAGTGAGATCGGGTTGGGTCAGGTTAGCTTACAACGGTTAGCGGGTCGATCGGGTTCGTCGAGTGAATTGATATTTGTTCAGCCCTAGCGACTAGAGTTATAAGATAAATTTCTCTTAGAGTATACTTAGAGTAACAGTACTCATGGACTTTTCCGTAAATGAAAGAAAATTAAAGGTAAGGAAGGCATGCATAGAGGGGAAATATATTTACTTGGTACAATCCACATCGGGGCCTGTAAGTATAGGCGCATAGGTGACATTACAGGTGCCAATAACCTGAAACGCTTTATCTTCATCAGCTCCACTGAAACTCCCATCTCTCTGCAGGCACTTGCACAGACCAATCTTCAGCTTCCTCCTGTTCTTCAGATTCCTCACAATCTTCTCCAGCACCAGACAACCTACGCAGCATGTTTCTGGGATTGTCTCCTCCTCAACATTCACCAAGAAATCTTTGCAGGGTGACAGCAGGTTCAGAGCTATCCTGCACACTAAACTGCTGTCATCTGCACCACCTCTTGCTGCAATCACAGGAGCCATGAGAATCAGTAAACCCCACACCTTCATCCCCTCCTTCATCTGATCTTTCCAAGTTTTGGTTTTGAGTTTAATTTGCTGTGGTACGGTGTGGCCATGGCTGTGATCTTGGGTTGTATTTATATCTGATCATGATGAAGAAGAAGATGATGATGTAAGACTAACTGCAGTTTGATTTGTGGGTGTGGCACTAAGACAAAGTAAATTACCCAAATGGTTAATCGAGACCCTAGTAATTTTACCAGGGAAATTACAATTTTCGTTCATAAGTTATAGGGTAATTGTAAATTAAATAGCACTTCTGGTCTCTAAGTTATAAATGATTTTGCAAATTTCATCATTTTTCTAGCGGGTCATGCTCACTTCTCGTCTATAAGTTATGATTGACGTTGCAAATTTCGTCCCTTGTTTTGTTTGAAAAAATGACAAAGTTTGCAACATCAGTTATAACTGAGGAACAAAAAATGGGCACGACCAACCAATGTTGCAAAAATTCCGCCTAGGCACCGATTAATTGGCACCTAGACACTGGCCAGCTGTTTAGCGTATCACCATAATTGATGGTCAAGGCGGCTGGCCGACTAAGCGCTGATCGCCTAGGCCACCTAGGAACCAACTAGGTCGTATGTCGGCCGATTAGTTATTGTTTTTTTTTTAAAGGGTTATTTCACTCAAAACGACATCGTTTTGAACAAAATAAGTCTAAATTGTTCAGACTATAAATGTTTTTTAGGTTAATATTTTATATTTTAGTGTTAACTATTAAAGTATTAAATACTTTATAATTATCAAGTCTTAAAAAATTAAAATTTTTTAAATAAATAACATAAAAAATACACGGGCTCCTAGGCGCTGATTAATCCTCGTCTAGGGCGTTTGAGGAGCGCCTAGCGATTTTTTCAATCATGCGACCAACGAATAGGGACAAATCCTACAATTACCCTATAACTTGAAAGCGTAAAGTGCAATTTTTTCTAATTTCACCAATTTTAATTTTTTAACTATTTCATCCAAGTGTAACTATCATATTTGTATTTTTTTTTTAGCCATTCCGATGGCTAAAATATGCAACAATTTGAATGAAATAGTACCTCCAAATGATTAAATAAGCATGTATCTGATAGTTAAAGACATCATTAAATAAAATTTAAAGTTGAGAATCAAATAGTATACGAAAATCACAAAATATCAACAGATTTAACAATGAATTAAATAGCTTCAACTTAAATATATACTTATAGATTTAGTTTTTTTATTAACAAAAATCTGTTTATAAATTAAATACCTATGAATTTAAATAATTTACCTAAGAATTTTTTGTTAGTAAATTTTATTTTTCTTGTAGTGAAAATAGTGAAATTAATATAGTTACGAGATCATTTTGAAAATTTAACCTTATAAGAATATATATAATGGATAGATAAAAATTTGGATGAAACAGTACATCCGATCCAAATGATTAAAATAGGTATATAGTTGATAGTTAAAAATATTATTATTAAACAAAATATATCAAAAAAATAAGAATTAAAATATTGAAATCAGTATAGTCGAGAGACTATTTTAGTCATTTAATCCAATAAGAATATAATGGAGGGGATTATTTTGAGTTGGTGGTAGCTAAGTGGGTGTATAATCATTAGTTGTGAGCTTGTCAAGGAAAAATAGAGGAATGGGAAACTTTGATATATATCATATCCCTCCAATCCCCATCCCCCATCATGCTCCACCTTCAATTTTCATGGAAATTATTCAACTTACCAAAGTGATTTTATTGGCTAGAATCATAGAATGCAAATCAGACTAAGGTACTTAAATGGGTTTTTCAAATGGAGGTTATTACAAAAATGTCAAGTTCAAGAGTAATTAGGTAGTGGTTGTGACGAGGAAAATTCTCAGCTGTAGTCACTATCTTCTGTGTAATAGCTTAAAAATCACACAAGAGAGGTAAATCACATTAGAAAGACTTTATGTGACGGACTCAATCAAGATCGAGTATGTTGGTTGACAAGAATCAAATTCAACTCATGACTTTATAATACTAGAGTCATGTTTTACGTACTCATTCACCACTTTCAGGTAAGAGATCATAAGTTTTTTGTCCTTATTTATGTGGGATGGGGAGACAAGGGAAGACCAAGGGTTTTGAGTGGTTGACCATGTTAGATCAACTTCAATTTTGCGGCTTGCCTTAGCTTGTTTCAAAGAGGTCTACATTTTCTACTTGGCTTATTATTTTGTCTGGGTAATTGAATGCCCTATAAGTTGTGACTACTAGGCCTATCGTCCATGGCGGTCTACTCAATTATGAGATATTGACTCAAGAGTATTATTATGATTATCATTTTGATATTAAAATTTTATAGTTCACAACATGTCGAAACGAAAGTGTTATTAAGGAGGAAGTTAATCACAAGTTTACACTTCACGAAAATTGTTCGGGTTTATATGGGCATTTTATTAGAAGATTTATCACGATTTTTGAGGAAAAAAAAAAGATAAGGTAAATAAGAGAGTGTGAAGAGAGAGAATGGGTGAGGTTCTCTTACAAAAATAGGATTTTTGGCCGTGAATGGACCTCACCACTGAGGAGAAGAGTTACACCTCAAAATGCATGAGGCGCAACCTCGCAGACTGGGTGCGCTTGGATGTGTAAATCTCTTTTTTATTTTTATTTTTATTTCTATTTTTTTTTCTCTCCTCCCATTTTCTCTTTCCTAGTCATACTTGTAAAAATTTCTCAAAAACCTCGCACTATTGAGGATGTTGTAAGTGATATATAGCGTTGATGGTGTTATGCAGTAGATTTACTAGCACAATAACCCAGGCTCCGATCACTTTTAGGGGTGTTTGGTTCAAGTTATATTGCTTGGAATCATGTTTGGTTTAGAACTTTAGATTATGTAATTTTTCCTAAAATGTAATATAACCTCCATATAAGGAATGTGAGATACCCTCCATTTTCTTAGGTATTCTTACATTCCCTTGTCTTATTACTAATTTTGCAATTTTATCCATTGATTTTCCTCCAACCTCAAGACATACAATGTTTTTAAACTTCATACTCTTAGTTAATTAATTTCAATTCATTATATATTTTACCGTTAGAGAAAATTATATATAATTTATACTCCTCACAAACATGCAAATTATCAATGTCACCCATGAATTATTAGTGGTGTAAATGTTGCTGCTCAACTTTTAAAACGTGACATATATTGCCCCTCTCTTGAATTATTAGTGGTGTAAATGTGGTTAACGGTTGTCTTTCTTGTTCGAAGACCATGTTTTTTCCTCCATTTTTCTTTCTTCGTTTGTTCTCCTTCCGCTAACAATAATGTTTCTCCTTCTTCCTATTAGGGGACGGGCAATATATGTCACGTTTTAAAAATTGAAGGATAACATTTACACCACTAATAATTCATAGATGGCATTAATAATTGACATATTTGTGAGGTGCATAAATTACAATTTTCCATTACCGTTTATTTATTTATTTTAATTTTGAAATATATTGAAATATATAAAAATATGTTAATGGTATTAAAATAAAATTATAACTTGATATAGCATTAAAAAAAAATCAATATAGTGATTATTTGAATTCCAACTTATTACAACATTGTGTTACCTAACTTAACTCGTGATCATTTGAATTCCAACTTACAACATTGTGTTACTTAACTTAACTCGTGATCATTTGAATTCCAACTTATTACAACATTGTGTTACCTAACTTAACTCGTGATCATTTGAATTCCAACTTACAACATTGTGTTACTTAACTTAACTCGTGATCATTTGAATTCCAACTTATTACATTGTGTTATCTAACTTAACTCGGTTGTAATTGCCCTTAATATATTAAATATTTCTGACCTTCTTGATCATTTGAAATTATGTATATATATATATATATATATATATATATATATATATTCCAATTATAATATATGTTCAACTAGTAATTCACACGTGCGATGCACGAAAAACAATTATGTTATTATAAATATAAATAAAAAATAAAAAAATTAAAATATTTTAAATTATTTAATATAATAATATTTTTGAGCTTCCATTGGTCAAGTATTTATTATTTTTATAGAATATAAAATTACAATTAAAATTAAAATTAAAATTAAAATTAAAATTTTGTATGGTTAATATAATCTCTAATTATGTGCATATTCAAATAAACTTATAGAGAGAATTTACATAATTGCATTGATTTATTCTTAATTGTATTTCATCTATATTATAGTTTTCACAATACGAATAATAACTAAGATAATTACATTTAGAAAGCAAATTTCAAATTTTGTATGAGTAAATTTAAACTCTAATTGAACACATTTTTTATATGATTATATAATATATAGTTATTTTATTTTTCAAATATTGTGTTTTTTTTTTTATAATAAAAGATGTTGTGGCATTAATTGTAACATTAATTATTTCCCAAACCATATAGCTTTATTATAAATGTAAGTATTAAATATAGTGATCTGTCGATTTTCACAAATCATCATCATAAATAAATAAAAAAATACAAAAAACATTTGATGGTGCCAGCTGGCAGCTGAACACACTAACACGTGTTATATATTCTCCCCTCACAATATATAAACACAAAAACACCTTTAACCGTTTCATTGCTGGCTGGCATGCTCTGTATACAACCTTTCCTTTCCTTAATACCCTCCAAAGCCACAACTTTTTGGAATGGGACCCACCAAAACCTAAACTGAATTAGTCCCGTCTTATGAGATGTATACATATATTAGTACAGTATATAAAAAGAATTGTTGAAACATGTTCCGAATAAAGTAAAATTACGAAAAACACATTTTTGAGTAAGAATTAACGTTACACCGTAAGTTCGGCAAGGAAACACTGTAAGTACGACACCGAGTGAGGCCCGAATTAGGTATTTGTTTCACTATAAAAGGAACCACAAGTTGAACACAACTTTGATCAAAATCCATCCTTAGGTGTGGGGCTAGAAATGGTGAGATTCTTCTCGGTGTGGATGTTAGGGTTCATAACGCTATCACTGATCACCACTCCACCTGTGCACTGCAACGTCTCAGGCCGAGACGCCGTGGTGGTGCTGCTTCCCTGCAAATCGTTCTTGACAGTCAACGCCAACGCCACCGCGCCTTGCTGTGACAAACCAATGGCGGCAGATTCTGGCCGCTCTCAACCGCTATGCAGAATCATCATCCCTGCTCCCATTGACCCCAGTATCAATTGCACTACGTAAGTATACATACACCTCGTTTGTTAGGATCAAACACTTACCACTACACTAAAAGCTATAACTCGTAGCGAATGCATAATTTTGTTTCCTTTGTAGTTTATACAATTAATTTTTTTTGAGAGGTAAATGTTGGATTTGACCATTCACCCGCCTCTGCGCAACACACATAAATGCTACATTGTCGAATATTTTGTTATGTCATTTTAAGAGTTAATTTCATTTTTGATCCTAGATTTATAGGTAACAGTCTACTTTTAGTCATTTTTTTATCAGAACATCATTTTTGGTCCTAGTATTATTGTGACATGACCAATTTTGGTCCTTTATAAAAAAAAATTACTAAAATTTCATTAAATACAAGGACATTTCGCTGTTCAATTATGATTTTTTTCAAAAGAATAAACATAAAAAATATAATGGGTCAACACACTTTGTATTAAAAAGATCTAAACGTCCTTCAATTTAACGAAATTTTAACAATTTTGTTGATAGATGACCAAAATTGATCATGTTACAATAATACTAGGATCAAAAGAGAATGTTTTGATAAAAAAAAAAAAAAAATTAAAAGTAGACTGTCACCAATAAATCTAGAACCAAAAATAGAATTAACTCTCTTTTCAAAGTATAACGTGTAACTTTGACGTGGATATTTGGGGCAGGCTTAGGGCACTATCTAAACGTGGCGGCGGCGGCGGCAATAGGCTGAGGCATCATAAGAATACAGGGATGACGTTGAAGAACGCCGAAGTTGGGAGATACAGCCGCCGTTTTGTAGATGTTAATAAGAAGAAACATCCTCGTCGGTGGCGGTCGTCGTCCCAAGTTTTAAGTAGTTAGGTGGTTGTATGTATATATCTCAGGCCGGCAGCTCCGAGACTCTGTGCGGCGGCATATATGCATAGGGTGATGAGCTGAGAGAAATTGATTATTATTGTCGTCTCAGATTTAGTGTAATTATTTGAAGAAATTCAATGTAATATATATATGTTCATTCTTCAATCATGGATGCCAATTACAATAATTAATTTTTCTTCTAAGTAATTTTGCTGATTTTTTATTTTTTTTTGACTGAGAAAAACTCGAATTATCTAAAGATATGTTTAGTGTAAAACTACTCATTACTCATGAGTAATAATTCACGAAAAGTCGCATTAAGAAAACCTTGTAATTAATTAGTTGTTCATTATGAATGTAAGCACTGAAATTCACACCAATAATATTTCTTACATATATTACTGAGATGTGATTGTAACGGCCATGTTTTTAGGGTAAGGAATTGTGATAGTTTCGAGTAGTCCGCGATATAGGGAATGATATAGGATTGTGTAATACGAATACCACATTATGCGTATCCCTCCTTACCAATTGAATCGGTGAGCTAAGTCCATATGGGTTGCGGGTGTATATCACTATCCTATACAATGGTGTTCGGATAATGCTTATCAATCAAAGTTTGACTAATGAGTGGCGGAGGTACGTGGAAGGTGCAGGGGGCCTTGCTCCCTAACCCCCCTCCCCCCACCAAAAAAAATCTAATTAATAGTATATTCTCCCAAAAAAAAAAATTTCTTATCAATTGTTTTTTTTTTGGCCCCCCTCACCAAAGCATTTGTCCCTTCCAATCACATTTTTTTTTTTCTCAAATTTATTTTTCTTAAATTAATGACTTTTTCTCTTATTATTTCGCACTTGATTTAAATTTGTTTAAAGGATTTTGACGACAAATTATGTTGTGGAACCGTGTTCACCTTGCAAGGTGGACACAGTTCCAAAACTATTCATAATTATGAATATATAGTTTAAAAATTATGAACATATAGTTCTGTAATTATGAATATAAAGATTCAATATTTGTGAATATGAAGTTCAAAATTATGAATATATAACTTTATAATTATGAACATATAGTCATTAATTATGAACATGACACGGTTTCACAGCATAACGATTGAGTTTTGACAATGTTTATAGGTGAACTATCCATATCTAAGAAATGTTTGCTCTTTGGTGAATAGTTTGTTAGTAACAATGTTTAAAGACTACACTTCGTAATAAGATGGAAGATGAATTTGTTAATGATTGTTTTTTTTTTTTTTTTTTGAAAACCTAATGATTGTTTGTTAGTATACATTGAAAAACAAATTGCAAAATAATTTAGTATAGATTCAACTATAGATGATTTTTGTGACATGCAAAAAAGACGTTCTAAATTTTAATAGATATGTAATACAATGATGTATTTTGGAATATGTTAAATGAATATTAATGTATTTTATTATTCTCTCTCAAATTGTGATTCCCCCGCACGAACAAATCCTGGCTTTGCCCCCGTTACTAATTTAACTGTTTGGCAACAATTTTTTGACTTGGCTTATTCATGCCATTAAGTTAAAAAAAAAAATGAAAAAGCTATTTTAAATAGTTTAGGAAAAATGATACTTTTTCCCCTGAATTATTTAAGTGGCGTTTTTCTCCTGATATGTTAAATGGACATATTTACCCTTAAAATTAATATTTCATTTATTTTTCTTCTACAGCAAATTATAACTACGATTTGGTTCAAATCGAACAGACACTATAGCAACTAAACAGAAGGGTTATGATGACAATTTAGAACCAGAACCCAATATTTAGAGTTTATTAAAATCGTGAGCCGGAAATGCCCGTTCATGTTCTTAATTAAAAAAATAAAATACATTAATTGTTGAATTTAGAATATTTTTTAAAAAAAATAAAATAAAATTTTAAAAGAAAGTTTGAACCAACAGTTCAAATTGGATCTAAACCCGTGAACCGACAGTTCAAAATAAAAACCAAATCACGGTTATATATACTTGTATCTAAGGGGGGTGTATTCAATCATGACTTTCATAGAGTTTTAAAGATTTTTATGAACTTTAAAAGTTTGGAGGTATTCAATTCAAACTTTTAGAGAGTCTTTAAAAGTCGGGCGGTATTCAATCAAGATTTTTAAAGAGTCTTTAAAAGTCGTGTGGTATTCGATTAAGACTTTTAAAGAGTCTTTAAAAGTCATGTGGTATTCAAAAAGTTATGAACTTTTGTAGACTTTTTAATTTTAAGACTTTTGAAGACTTTTGTAGACTTTTCCTTCTCAAATATAAATAGTTGAAATCCAACCATCAACCCCAAGATTTCAATTTTTCTTTCTAACAACTTTGAATGTTTTCTCTCTCTCTATTTAAACTCTATTTTTTCTCCCTATTTAAACTCTATAAACCTATCTAAATTCAATAAAATTATTTTTTTCTTCATTATCCTATATTTTCTTCATTACCAAGTCTTTTATTATAATTTTATTGTTTAATATTGTTATGAATTTCTAATGAAATAGTTTTTTTTTTTTTTGTTGATGTTTATTAATAATATATATAAGCAATTAGCATATAAGTCTCAGCATATTATGAATAAAAATAATAAAGTTGAGAATATTGATGTGGCTGAAGAACTATATAATAAGAAGAATTTTATGATATATTATAAATGTTTTGTAAGAAAATTGTAAATTATAAGAATTAAAATCATTGAAAGTTTGTAAGGGTGTATTCAATTTAGAATTTCAATGACTTTTGTAGACTTTTTAAAATAAAAAAGTTGATAAAAGTCTATGAATGTTTTTTATATAGAGTCTTATAAAGTTTTAAAAAGTTTTGAACGACTCTATGAAAGTCCATCAAAGTTTATTAAAATCTATCATTTTAAAAGTCGTTAAAAGTCTACAAAAGTCATGATTGAATACACCCCCTAAGAATCAAAATAAATGTGAAAAAAAAACATTCACTATTTGCAAATATTATAATTCTAATTTTAAGTTAATGCTAATAGTTGTTCCGATTTGAACCTCCGGTTCACGGTTCATGATTTTAATAAACGGAAACCCAAATATTGAGTTAGACAAACACCATCTTGATGCTGGGATTGATCCTAAGAACAGCAAAAGACTGTGAAACTAAGCAAATATGTACACTTTGCTTAATTTGCAGCAAACTAGAACATGGAGCATATAGCAGTGTAACAGAAGAAAGGATCTTTACCACTACAGTATACTCGAAACAGCTCCCCGCTGTGATGAAGAGCCAATCTTTTACATTCAACAACAACGTCTTTGCTCACTTCTCTAACAGATCGTTTCAGCTTGTTCTCTGGATCGTCGTGGATGAGATACTTGGCCACCCTGACGAGAAAATAAAATCAGAGATGTAACTCAAGGAACCCCACAAGCAGTAAAGTGGTTGTTTCCAGCATCCCATTGATGAAAGCCAAACCGAATTTGCAGAAAATCAAGAATTCGATGTAAGTTATAACATCACAACAATGGCTGCAGGAGAGGGGTGCCATGAAATTTAAGGGTCTAATGCTCGTTTTCCTTCCCTAATGCATATGACAATTGACAAGGGAGCCTTGTAGAGTAGAAAACTTTCAATGAAAGCAGTTTTCACCCAATGAGAGGTAAGCATTATGCAAAAAACGAAAGAGAACTAACAAGAGACTAATATTTCATGGTTGCATTAACTGTAAAGTTATTACTCAACTAGTTTGGATATGAATGGGAAAAGCGAGAATACTTGAAACATGGCGATTGTTGTGTACCTGACTATCTCGAGTTCTTTATCCAAGCGTTTTAAGGACAATGGCAGGGAAAGTTGCAGTCGATAAAGTGCACAAACAGCATCCATACACAGTTCAGGATCATCTTCAAACGCCAAACGCATGTCAGGTTCAAGCAGCCATGGCCCTCTTCCTTTCCCTTTCTGGGATCCCAAGTAAGTAGCTGAATCTTCTGAATCCATAGAACTGCCTCCTTTCGAAGGGGCTACTGCACAGTCTGCACCGCCCTTTGATCCATCACCACGGCTGCAACTTCTCGAGCTCACTCTATGGTCCTGCAGATCTTGAACATACATTTTCTTCCATGGAGAAACTCCACCATCATGGCTCTTCCTCAAGCTTCTTTTCCTCTTCACCACACGCTTTTCTTTCTTTTCTTGGCTTTTGTGAGTGGAAGATGATTTCTCCGTTTGTCCCAAAACTTCTGAACTACAGAGGTATGCTAGAGAGGCACCTTCATCACTGTCACTGAGAACCACCACAGGTGAAGCCACTATGAAGGAAGATGCATCTGCCATAAACATTCATCAATCATCAATGGGATATATATATATATATATCAGTACTATCATTAAAACTTCAAGAAACTCCAAATTTTGACTAACAATACATATATAGAGGCAGAATCACATGAGAACTGCGACCTACACAATCAATTATCATCGAATGCACAATCAGACATTACAAGATACACAATCCTAATCGAAGTAATAACAAAAATGAATATAATCTCAATCCCCCCCTCTCTATATATATATAGAAGATTGTTATACCTTTCAACTTTGATCTGCAACTCCCCATTGTATCTGGAGTGGAAGCAAGGTGGGTTCCATTGTCAGCATCACCATAATGATTTTCAGCCATTTTACCTTCTTTTACTGCAACATACTTCTCCAAACAAGAATGTCTTTCCTCCAACAACTGAAACCTCTTCTCAGAAGCCTCAAGTTTCATGGCAGCTTCATTCTTCTCACTCTTTAGCGTCTCAATCTCCTTTTTCAGGCTAAAAATTAGTTTGCATTTCTCCTCCTGCTCTTTCAGAAGCTCCTGGTTGATCTTCTTGTATCTCTCTTCGCTCCTCTTCTCCCTGCCGTCTAGAACCTTCTTCTCCTCCTCCAGACGAATGTTGTTTTCAGTTAGGTTTTCGTATTCCCTCCTCAGATTCTTCAGCTCGACTTTGAGCTTCACGTTCTCGATTTCCAGGCGCGATTGCTCTCTCCTCGCCCCGCTTTCACGCTCGCTCAGCGGAGGAATCTCTTTTTCTCGGGAAAGATACTTCCAAATATCAAGCAGCTGTCCGACGGTTGAGGTTCCGCCGGTCGCCGGAGGCTTCCAGGACGAGATACCGGCGGGGAGAGACCCGATCACCGGCTTGGACTCTGAACTCATCGGACAACTGATCAAGTTTTCCCAAAACCCTTTTTGGTTATGGGTTTCGTGCCAAAAGGGGGAAAGATGGAGGCTTTTATGCAAAATGATGAAGCAAAAACAAAAAGCATCAGCGACGAGTGTCGTACGGAATTTCTGGAAATGGCAATGAGTCGAATTTCGGAGCTCGGAAAGAGAAGGAGGAAATGGTAGGTTAAAGGACTAACCGCGACGGCGACGGCGGCGGCGTGCGACGGAGGCGGCGAGAGGAAGACGAGAGCCTTGAAGTGGAAAATCTTCTATTGCTATTTTTGTGCCGGGAAGGAGAATCACTGTCTACTTAAAACTAACTCACCATATTTTAATTGAAGGTTTGTGCCGGGAAGGAGAATCACTGTCTACTTAAAACTAACTCACCATATTTTAATTGAAGGTTTCTTTGGTTTTCAAAAACAAAGGAGAAAATTTCAATTTTGGTCCACTGACTATTGGAGTTGTTTTAATTGCAACACTTAGACTTTAAAAAATGTTAATTTAGTACTTTGACTATGCAATTTCTATCAATTTTGGTCACGCCGGTCAAATTGCCGGCCACATCTCACCGGAAAATTTAATAGGGCAAATAATGAGGGTATTTTAGTCATTTTACTCATATTCTTTCTTCTCCGATGAACTTCCCTCCATTTCCGGCGAGATTCGTTCTCCGATAAGCTTCTCCGGCCAAATAGCGTAGTTGTTCTTCAACTAACAGGGCAGAATGGGGGTTAAAGTCACCTTTTCCACAAGTTCTTCCGCCATTAATCGCATGTCTAACCGGTCGGAAATACAAGGTCTGGATTTGGCTCCGTATTTCGACGGTTTTGACGGCCAATTCCAAGGCGTCAGCGTAAACGACTTCTGGGCTTCCGTCAAGACTATAATAATCATTATTTCACTAAAGTTTGCAGTTTGAACTTGGAACGTTTCTGCGTCCTGCAAATGAAGAAAATGATGAGTTTTAATGAATTCTGTTTTGGGGTGTTTGTTCATTCCAAGGCACGGTCCATACGCCATGTTCATGTCAAATTATCTTCGCCACGATCGTGGCGGTTTGGATCCAAAGCAAAGTGAACGGAACCTGAAACCTCCGGGCGACCACTCCGGCGGCGAGATTCCTTCTCCGATAAGCTTCTTCGGCCAAATAGCCTAGTTGTTCTTCAACTAACAGGGCAGATCTAGTGGGTAAATACAAGGATGCATCTACAGACTACAGATAACACAAAGTTGTATTCTCTGCTCTAAATTTCTTGAATTTTGAAAGAAATTGCACAGAAAAACTAAATATCTGCCCATTTATCAATATTCCCTGCGGCATTTCATCAACACCATCGGAGAAGGAATCTCGCCGGAAATGGAGGAAAGTTCATCGGAGAAGAAAGAACATGAATAAAATGACTAAAATACCCTCATTATTTGCCCTATTAAATTTTTCCGGTGAGATTTGGCCGACAATTTGGCTGGCGTGACCAAAATTGATAGAAATTGCATAGTCAAAGTACTAAATTAACATTTTTGAAAGTCAAATGTTGCAATTAAAACAACTCCAATAGTCAGTGGACCAAAATTGAAATTTTCTCAAAAAAAAAAAAAAAAACAAACTCACCATATTTAACTTTTGGGGAAATCACACTTTTGGTCCCTCAGTTAGTACCCCATTTGCAATGTTGTCCTTACTTTCCAATTTAGACAGATTTAGTCCCTCAATTAGTCCGAGGTTTGCCAATTTAGTCCTTCTGTTACTTAGCCATCCTAACTCCGTTTACAGCATAGGTATTATAGGAATTTCACTTACCCTTGATTATATTAGCTTAGTTCCTTTCCGTTGCTCAGCCGAGTCTACCATTTCTGCCACCACACTACAATGGAAAGAGGACCCCGCCGAGATATTCAACCCGGCATCGCAGACCACTCTCCTCCAAACCTCCATTTCTGATTCAAACGTGTTAGATCTCAGCAAACCCCTCATATCCGCACAGCAAAACAGCCCGACATCGCTGTTCAAACACGAAACCCCGGATTCCTAAAGCCCCGAAACCATTTTCTCTCTCCTTTCCCTCAACCCTCTCTTTCCCCTCAACCGTTTCCTGTTCTCTCTAACGTAACGTTTGGTGAATTTCCTGTCTCCGAGGATGCTGGTAAGCAGGTATTGGCTCTGCGACGAAACCAGGCCGAAACTGGACATTTTCGTCACCGCCGACACCACCATCTCGTTGCCGGAGTAAATCATCTCGATTCTAAACCCCTACAACCCGAAATCATTGGACATGCTCGACACGACATGGATACGCGACAAGTGGTCGCGATGTCGGTGGGTTTTGTCGGCTGTGAGGATGCTGGTGAATCCTGGGGAGGTGTTGAACACGGTGCCAGGCGTAGATTTCGACGCTAACGATGTGGATGTTATTGGAGACGGCGAAGGAGATGAGTTGGTCGAGTTCATGGAGAGTCACGGTTGTTCCAAGTGGGTTGGATGGGTTAGTGATGAACACGCCTTTGACTTTCAGGCCCAGTCTTTGTTCAGCTTCTTGGTAAGCTTCTTCCATGGCGGACTCGGTAATTCTGAAGCTGTTGGAACTACTGCAATGGATTGGAACTATTTCAACCCCGGTTCGCCATTTCAAGTCCTTATCAAACCTGTTAAAAATAAATAAATAAAAAGTGACAACATTGATCTATTTAATAATAGCAGACTTCTAACTTAGCTTGTACGTAGTAATATCAAAACTTAAGAGTTCAAGTCTGTTAAGCACTTTCCCGACATCCTGGAACCCAAAAACCGCCAGCAGTTCAGGGACGGATGGGTAGCCGCTGAAGCCAGCGAGAGGCAGAGAGTGTGGGACTCCCAGTCGCAGTTCTAGCAGAAGATGACGGCGTTGTTGTAGCAGAAGATGGTGGCCGAAGAGGCATTGTAGGCGTCGCAGAGCAGGTAGCGTGTGTGCTTGGTGAAGAGAGGGGTTGTAGAGTGCACCTCTTGGTCGCAGCCGAGGCAGAGACTCGCCGAATCGGCTCAGCAGGGTTGAAGTGTCAATGGTGTCTTCTATTCCAAGGTTAGGGTTGAAGACATGAGTGGCGGAAATGACAGAACAAGCTGAGGAAGGGGAAGAAATAGACTTATAATAATTAAGGATATGTGAAATTCCACTTTTGTCCATACTCTTCACGGAGTTTAGAATGATTAACTTACAGAAGGATTAAATTGGCAAACATCAGATTAATTGAGGGACCAAATCTGTCCAAATTGGAAAGCAAGGACGACATTACAAATGTGGTACTAACTGAGGGACCAAAAGTGCGATTTCCCTTTAACTTTTTAAGGAAATGATATATATGTACGAGTATAACTTTCGTTGTGTACAATTTTTATTAGAGCTAATTATCAGAATGGTCCCTTCACTATAGTAAAATTATCAATTTGATCTTTGACTATTTTTTATAACCAATTAAGTCCTTCAGCTTTAAAAATCTTAACTAATTTTGTCGTCCATTAATTTTTCCGTTAACTTGAGACCAAATTGGTAATTTTGCTATAGTGAAGAGACCATTTCAGTAATTAACTTTAGGGATGGCAATTTGATTCGATTTTCCCGAACCGAAGCATACCGAACAACCGAACGGTAATAAATTATTGTATACCGAACGATTCCAAATACCGTTTGATTTTATTTAAAATATAATAATAATAATAATAATAATAATAATAATAATAATAATAAGTTTTCAAAAAAAATTAATAATAATAATAAAGAAGTAAATCCAAGTCCATCCTTTACCGTTCAACTCATATTCTCACGGGTATCTCTTGTATAAATTCAAAGCCTAATACATAATAAAGCCAACTGATGTTTATTATTTTATTATAAAATATTTACGAGAGATACCAATGATAATATGAGTTGAACGGCAGAGCAGGCAGTAAGGGACTTGGATTTACTTTTTTATTATTATTATTAAAAATTCAAACGGTGTTCGGTTCGATTCATTTTTTTATCGAATAATTCATTTTGGTTTAGTTTTTTACCAAACTATTCGGTATACAAGAATCTATTACCATTTAGTTGTTCGATTCGGATCGGAAAAACCGAACCAAATTGTCACCCCTAAAGTTAATTACTGAAATGGTCCATTGACTATAGCAAAATTACCAATTTCGTCCCAAGTTAATGGAAGTCTAACGGCAAAAGTAACGAATGACCAAATTGGTTAAGATTTTTAAAGTTGAGGGACTTAATTGGTCAAAAAAATAGTCGAAGACCAAATTGGTAATTTCGCTATAGTCAATGGACCGTTTTGGTAATTAACTCTTTTTATTATGTAAATAAAAATAGTGGACAATTTTATTATTGTTTAAATCAATTAAATGATGCAACGGGATTAGAAAATGGAATAGAAATTGATAATAGATGTAATATTACTCTAACTTAAAAATAATTCTGCATGTACTCCTGTTTTCTACTATCTATAATGCTTTGATTGCTCAATAAATATATAGGGGGTTAGTTTATCCATTTCGTTTTTTTTTTTTTTCTCTCCTCCAACAAAATTTAAACACAAGTGGAAGTAGATTTTTGGCGTTGGACGGTTGGAGTAGTATTTTTCAAAGAGTTTTTTTCGATCCTATGATTGTAGAGTCTTCGCGAACTTGGGTTCACAATTTTCATTCCAACATAAATAGTATTTTCGGTGAGTTTTTTATTAGCCATGTCGCCGAAACTCGGAAGGACTAAATCTGGAAAAAAAAAATCAAAGTGAAGCACTACTTATGTCGGAAATAAAAGTTGTGAACCCAAATTGACGGAAACTCTAAAGTCATAGGACCAAAAGTGAAAAAAAAAAAAAACTCTTAAACCAAATAATAATAATAATAATAATAATAATAATAATAATAATAATAATAATAATAATAATAATAATCTATCTATAAATATAAATATATAATATATAATATAAAAAAGTTATAAGAGTTGATCCATGTTAATATCCATGATTTATGTTTATTTAGTTATAAATTGCGCTATAATCTGACAAGTTTATATATTAAATGTTACTATAGTTATACATATTTTTCTAAAATATTATTGACTCTATTACAAGGTAGTATTTATTTTATATTTTCTCTAACTAATGTAGTCTAAAGAGTTAATACCCCACCACCGAAGTTCTATATTTATTACTTAATCATGTATCATATTTAAAATTATTACTTTAGCAATTATTACCCATACTATAATTATTACCCACAATATGATACGACTATTACCCAAGTGATTAATTAATTCGGGATTAAGCCTTATAAAATTAGTGAACTAAAGTCGAGTTTTAAATATTTAAGCCTGATCAATTTCAAATTCAAACTCAAACTCAAGATACTATAATTCGGGTCCACCATAAACCGGGTATAGGAAAGTAATGACTTTATTACCTGGGGCGCCAGGCCCAAAGTAATGCATACAAAGCTCGAGGTACATGCTCATAATAGCGGCTCAAATACAAAGAACAAGGCCCACGGGGTGGGCTATAACTAACTATGCTACTAGTAAGAATCGAATCCAGGTGAATGGATTGAGAGTATAGATGAAGACCACTAGATTGTAGTGCCTGTCGTGTCTAAGTTGCCCTTAGCCAAAGATCCAAGCCCTTATTTATAGCAAGCCCCCCTCATCCTCTGGCGTCCGCGTGTCCCACGTTGTTCCTCCCCCACTCCGCTTGTTTGTCGCCATGCATGTCACGTCGCCGCTATCCCCGCGACTCCCGCATCCACACCGCGCATGTTGACTAACATCCTCCACCATGCACGCCGCACCTACCTCCCCCCTCACGCCGTACCTACCTCCCCCCCTCACGCCGTACCTACCTCCTGCACCTACCTCCCCCCTCACGCCGTACCTACCTCCCCCCCCCCCTCACGTCGTACCTACCTCCCCCCTCATGTTGTACCTACCTCTCGCACCTACCTCCCCACTCACGCCATACCTACCTCCCGCACCTACCTCTTCCCCCCTCACGCCGTACCTACCTCCCCCCCCCCCCCCCATGCCGTACCTACCTCCCCCCTCACGCCATACCTACCTCCCCCCTCATGTCGTACCTACCTCCCGCACCTACCTACCCCCCTCACGCCATACCTACCTCCCCCTTCCGGTCCATGCTCTTCACCCCGGCCCACCATGTGTGGTTGTCTTCCTAGCCCAACAAGACTTGGGTCAACCTCTTTCTTTCACCACTCCCACTTGGGCCAATACTTTCCCAATAAAATAGACCCCCTAGGGTCCCATATCCCCATCAATTTTAATCTCAAACTCAAGCCTACCTAGCTTCAAGTTCATTTTGTTTGCACCTTGACTACCTACCATATCCACATGCATAATTAACTCATCACCACTACTAACTTTATTATAGCCAATATATATTTTCGTCTGTACATCATTATTTTATTACTTTTTTTAAAGAAAAAAATTGTACAATTTACGAATTACATAAATAAAATTTATCTAATATATATTTTTGAGTAATAATTGTGAATTTTTCTCAATCAATTAACAAAAATCTTACTAAGAGAATTACATAATTAGGTTAAAATAGACTTAATGTGATGCATTATGCATGGTATTAACTAATAACTACCATTTGCCTAATTTGCTTTACTATCACCCATCTATAATTTTCTCTCTTCTCCCAAAAAATAGAACAAACTTAACCATTGTCTGAATTAAATTATTAAAATTATTATAGGTATGAATTATCAAAGGAAGAAGTGTGTCGTTTAGTTTACACTTGGCACCTCTGTGACTCCCCTTGAGGGAGGTCACAGGATCGAACCCTGTGGTGGGTTATTAACTCTTTGAGCTGCAGTAATTAAGAAAGTATAGAATATATACTACCTTGTAATAAAGTCATCAGTATTAAAAAAAAATCTCCATTTTAGGTTCTTGACATGAATGTTTTATGTTGAGTTTGAAGAAGAAGACAATTGTGTATTGACTATTAAAGGTACATCATATCCTTCCTTATTTATATTATTTGGAACCCATGAAAAGAAGACTATTTTTACAAAACAAGAAAGGAAAAGTACTCTTAATATTAAGAAAGGAAAAGTACTCTTAATATTTGTTAGAATCAAGATGGGCATGCTCAAGTTTGCAGCGATAGGAGTGTTGATAGTAATATTGTTTGGAATATGGAAGCATATGCACCGACTTGCAATGAGAGTTTGAAAATATTTTAGCTAACTATGAAAGAAAATATGTATTAACACTGACAATTACTTTTTTTTTTTTAGTACAATCTATGATTTTACAAATATCATGTACTATTTTCTTTAATTAGGTTTTTCCCACGTGAATTTCCTACTGAATTTTTAAAGAGACATATATATATATATATATATATATATATATATATATATATATATATATATATATATACTCCTTTTGTCTCGATTTTTTAAACAGGATTTTCCTAGCAAATTTCTGACGAAGCATGAATGTGAGAAGATAATGTCCAAGGGGAGGTGTTATATACATTAATTATTGTGGACATTATGAGGATTGATTCACTGCTGGAAATCTCGCGTTTTCCGTCCAACAAATGTTGGACGGAAAACGTGATATATTGGTCGGAAACGACGTTTCCGTCCAACATACCGACCAAAAGGAACGTTCGGAAAACCCTCCGTGGGAAATTTCGTCCAACTACGATATTTGGTCGGAAATAGCGTCCAACGAACAAAAATTGGACGGAAATTCAGGCGAATAACCCACATTTTTAAATTGTGGGAATTTCTGTCCAACTACGTGCGTTGGTCGGAAATTCCGACCAATGTTGGACGGAAAACTCACATATTATATTTTGTTATTTTCCTTCCAACTGTTGGTAGGAAAATCCTAATAAGAATTTTTTTTGAATGCTCTAATAAGCATTTTGTTTTACACAAATAGATAAAAATAATGAAGCAAAACAATATATACAAAATATCATTTATTCAAACAATCAAAAGTATACTATAACTTGCAAATGTCTACTAAAGTACTTAAGAAATTCAAACTCAATATATTTTTAAGTGAAACATAGAGTACATGATTAAATATACACAATAATTATATGTTCCTCCTCAAAGTAGAAAATGATAACAGTTAACAAATATAAACAGAAAGCTCTCTTGATAATGATTACCCTTTTAGGGCCCAAACCTATAGTCTCATATTCTACAGCTAATTCCTTATAGATCTTCAATCTTTTCTTCTCTAAATTCAAAGCAGTTTCTGCATCTTTGGCAATCTTTCCTGCAACAACGCAAAATTACAACTTGAGAAGGTAGATACCCAATAGTAAGCACACAAGTGATGTTCATTTCGCAATTAAGTGTATTGTGACTTGTGTCAAAAAGCTAGATATATCATGTTGAATTGTAAATTATGCAAAACTTTTCACCATAATAGCTATGATCAAAATGCACCTCGTGATTGTAGAGAACTTTGTACATCAGATCCTAATTCCACTGCCTGCCCTGAGATCTTGTTTACAATCTCAGGAGCATCAACGAACTGTAGTATTCTTAACATTCTCAGAGGCTTTTCTTCTCTGCAGCCTCCTCATCTGCTTTCTGCTGAGCTTCCAATTCCACTACTTTTGCTATTTCAATTCTTTCGCTTCTAGCTTTAGCTTGCATCTGGAAAATAAAAACTTATGAGCACTAATAAAGCTGAGTATTCTATTTAAAATGTTCATTTTCTAACAAAACAAGAAGAATATCATAGTGAACATGTGTAATTCATAGTAGATAGAATGGTCCCAGAAATTAACCTTGATGCATGATAGCTACAAAATTCACATGAATGTAATTCATATACTTATTTTTAAAACATCTCCTTGATGCAATGCTCAAATGAGATGGTTTTATTGTGAACTGACAAAGATGAATATCAAGACCAAAGGTCATTAAATATTTTAAATTGAACCATATAAAATAATGTAATATCAACCTAGCATGAACTCATGAAGTATACACGGTGCATGCTACACTAAATTCAACAAATAACACCATGGCATTCATTTTTCAATGCTTGAAACCAAAAGTTGAAACCATCCATGAGTTCTTGAACAGATAATATACCTTTATAGTGGCAACCACCCAATCTGGAAATTTAAAAAAAAATAAAAATCACATTAGTAGTTATTAACAGGAAAATATTATTGTGGGCTGTTGAGAAAATAGAACTGCAGAAAAAGAGCAAAACCATTTCAACCAAATGCAATCTGTCCTCCTCTTCAACCTCTTTCCCCTGCAAATAAACAAATAAATAAAGCCAAGCCCTCTGGATCCCAAACAAATCTTAACCCAGCCCCTCTACTGCCTCCATGCCTACCCTCATTCCCTTAAGTTTCCGTTTTCCGGTGGCCTCGTCGGTGATGAGTTGGAAATCGAGGTTGAGGTGCTTGAAGTTGCGGAAGAGCTTGCCCCTAGGACATGAGAAGGAGCGTTGTCTATGGAGCGACGTGAGAAGAGAGAGAAGATCTCAAAGGAATTGTGGAGAAGACAGATCTGAAGGCGGAGAAGACAGATCTGAGATTTATTTTTATTTTTACTTTTTTTTTTAAAAGCGTATTGGCCGATCTGAGAGAGTGAGTCGGCGACTATGGCGGTGGAGGCGGTGATTGCGTCGTGGTGGCAGTGGAGGCGTCGTGGTGGCGGTGGAGGCGTCGCGGTGGCGGTGGTAACCTGATGGTGAGGGAGAGGGAGATCTGCGGTGGTAACCTGATGGTCTGGGGTCTGATAGAGGTTGTCTGCCAAACTTCTCTTTTTCCCACCCAAAGTTCTATATTTCCCGCTTCTCTAAGTCCACAATTCCAATATTTCTTTATTTTTTAGCTAAACTATTAAAATTTCCGTCCAACATTATTGTTAGACAGAAATTAAATACCTACCATTTTTAATTTCTACCTATCAATCAATTCAAGTTTACCAACCAACATTACAGGTTGGTCGGAATTTCCGTCCAACGCGCGAGTGTTGGACGGAATTTTCGTCGAACACTCATGCGTTGGACGGAAATCCCGACCGACTTTCCATCCACCCATCTTTAGTAACAGAAAGTTGAAAATTTTATTAAAATACCGACGAATTTGCGGTTGGACGGAAACAGCGAGATTTCCAGTAGTGATTGTGTAACGGTTAAATATTTATGTTTAGCATTATTGCTTTCCGTTACAAGTATATATTATATATATAATGTTGTAATATGTAAAAATAGATGATGAATGAGAAGATCCATCTCCATTCTCTGTATTTTCCTTCTCCTTGTTTGATTTTACAACAACTTTTAAATTAAATTTTGATGTGTAATTTTTTCTTTGTTTAAATTATATGCATTATAATTTGACAAAGTATTTTTATTACTTTTTTTTATTGTATATTTGTACTTATATAATAAAAATATTTTAGTACTATTGACTCTACTTATATAATAATTAAAAAATCTCCAAATTAAATTACTCGTATTAGATAAAGTTCATCTTTTTTTACGGAATGACCCTATATATGGGGTGGGTGAATGTTTCAAAAAATGTTCACAAATCTTGGGCAAGTATATGTTCAGAAATTATATTGGTGGTTTTAGAGCATGCACATCAGTGCATTTTTCACCGTTTTATAAAGTGAAAGGGCCAACATGGAGAAGAGAGAGGGTTGAAGGACCTCCGGCAAAAGAGCGATTTTTTACAGAAATGTGGGACACACAGCATAAATCTTGCAGTTGTGCCGCCTCACGTGGCTATCACAACTGCACGTGCCCGCTAGGCGCGTTATTGACACTGATAATTACTTCTTCTTTTTATATATATATATTTTTTAAATCAGCTTTTTTTTTCTCGCTTTTTGCTCTTCCATCTCATACTCTATTTCCTAATCACACTTACAAAAATTCCTCCAAAAAAAATAAAAAAATAAAAATAACTATTATGGATGCTCTTAGTGGTAGATAGCATGTTTCAATCACTACTCGTAGTACACAAAACACTAATACTAGAATAAAATGGATAGAGTTGAAGTTGAATATAAAAAAAAATTTAATGACAAAAAACAAATCAAAATTATAATTTAATGAATGGGGCAACCCGAATCAAGTTAGTCAAATTGTTATTTGATATCATAATCATAAAGTTATAATCATAAAGTTATAAGTAAGATTTTTAGTTGGAGCCGACATAATGACCTTCTTGGTTGATATAAAATGGTTTTATTGACTGAACGTAATCTTACCTGATATAGAATGTAGAGTAAATACCCAAAATGGTCCCTCGACTATAACTAAATTCACAAATTGGTCCTCAATTTTTAATTTTAACCAATTAAGTCCTTAACTTTGTAATTTTAACACAATTTGGTCCTCTGTCTATTTGACCGTTTGTTGACTGTGATTTTTGAGGATATATATGTAATTTCATGGTCCATCGTCGCGTTTTTAAGGTTCCGGCTGCATTTCCAGACCGCACTGTTACATTTGAATCCACTGCCGAAAGCAATCTACCAAATCCGGTCGTCTTTCTTCATCCTCTCTTTGGATTCAATGTAGTTGAGTTCGTACCAGAGCGAAAAAGACGACGTGTTTCCCAACCGGTGCAATGTCATCCTGGAGGCCTTCACGTGCTCCGGCGAGAGCTGAAGGTTCTTCTGGAGATCGTCGATCACCACTGCTGGAAATTTTGAAATTTCCGACCACTTGAAAATGATCTTAAATCAAGTCGAAAGTCTTGTTCTAACCACTTTTGGTATCCGGAAAAATCTTTGTTGCTATTTCCGACCACTTTTTACTTTCGACTTGATTTAAAATCACTTTCAGGTGGTCGAAAATTCCAGAATTTCTAGTAGTGCACGGTCAACAAGTGGTCAAATAGATGGAGGACCAAATCGTGTCAAAATTGCAAAGTTAAGGACTTAATTGGTTGAAATTGAAAGTCGAGGACTAATTTGTGAATTTTGCTATAGTCGAGGGACCATTTTAGGTATTTACTCTAGAATGTATCATATTGATTATTGATGGTACTTCAATTTAGAAAATCTTTAATCTAGAGAATTACTAGCCCTATTCAAATCAGACTTGCAAAAAAAGCTTCATGTCTGCCAAAATTCAGCAGATCAGCTCCAGTTAGCCAAAACCATTTCAAAATCGCCTCATTTCTTGCCTTCTCCTTAGCTGCAACATAAAATGTTAGCCTCACTTTCTTATTCCTACCATATACCTCCCTCCTCCTCAAAAACCTTTTTTTTTTTTTTTTACAAACATTTTCCTCATTCTTTTCTCATCACTCTTTTTTTACAAACATCTCCTCCCTTATAACCCCCTAAATCTCCACCACTCTCTTTTCTCTTTTCTCATTCTTATTTTCCATCAAAAAAAAAAAAAAAAAAACTAATAATGTATCCTACGTGTTTTTATTGAGATGTGATTGTAGCGGTCATGTTTTTAGGGTAGGGAATTGTGATAGTTTCGAGTAGTCCGTGATATAGGGCACAATATAAGGTTGTGTAACACGGATACCACATCAATAGATATCCTTCCCTACCTATTAAACCAGTGAGCAATTTAAAAGTCTAGTTTAGGAGTTAAACCGACCATAATGAGCAATTTCACTATAAATAAAGCCAACAAAAAGCAGTTAGATAGGCATTGATTTATGGTACTTGCTAAGGTAACCATGAAACTAAACAATGTCAAACTATGAAGCATCAAGATTTGATGCTGGGATTCATCCTAAGAACACCAAAACATTATCGAATGTGAATACTGATGTTGGGGTTGATCCTAAGAACATCAAAAGACTGTGAAACTAAGCAAATATGTACACACTTTGCTTAATTTGCAGCAAACTAGAACATGGAGCATATAGCACTGTAACAGAAGAAAAGATCCTTACCACTACAGTATACTCGAAACAACTCCGCACTGTGATGGAGAGCCAATCTTTTACACTCAACAACGATGTCTTTGCTCACTTCTCTAACCGATCGTTTCAGCTTCTTCTCTGGATCGTCGTGGATGAGATACTTGGCCAACCTGACTATATCGAGTTCTTTATCCAAGCGTTTTGAGGATGATGGGAGGGAAAGTTGCAGTCGATAAAGTGCACAAACAGCATCCATACACAGTTCGGGATCATCTTCAAACGCCAAACACATATCAGGTTCAAGCAGCCATGGCCCTCTTCCTTTCCCTTTCTGGGATCCCAAGTAAGTATCTGAATCTTCTGAATCGATAGAACTGCCTCTTTTCGAAGGGGCTACTGCACAGTCTCCACCGCCCTTTGATCCATCACCGCCACGGCTGCAACTTCTCAAGCTCACTCTATGGTCCTGCAGATCTTGAAGATTCATTTTCTTCCGTGGAGAAACAGAAACCCCACCATCATGGCTCTTCCTCAAGCTTCTTTTCCTCTTCACCACGTGCTTTTCTTTCTTTTCTTGGCTTTTGCGAGTGGAAGATGGTTTCTCTGTTTGTCCCAAACCTTCTGAACCAAAGAGGTTTGGTAGAGAGGCCCCTTCATCCACAGGCCTCTCTTCATCACTGTCACTCAGAATCACCACAGGTGAAGCCACTGTGAAGGAAGATGCATCTGCCATAAACATTCATCAATCATTGTTGACCATATAACCATTAATGTGCAATCCAACTATCAGCTTAGGCTTTTAGTTGAGATGGAGCATATTCTTCAATTATCATCAATGGGATATATATATATATATTCAGTACTATCACTAAAACTTCCAGACAAGATTTAAGGCAATGTGCCTACGTCCATGGAAGTGAAACTATTCTTTACTTTATAGCAATGGTGAGGATCTCTACCCGTTTCACTGGACAAACTAATATTCCTATTCTTAATCCTAGACAAACTTAGCAAGAACTTATATTCCTAATCCTATGAGACAAACTCAACAAGAAACTACTATATATATATATATATATATATATATATATATATATATATAACCATTAATGTGCAATCCAACTGGTATCAGAGCCACTACGAGCTTGAGATGTAGCACATGCTTCAATTATATAGAAGATTGTTATACCTTTCATCTTTGATCTGCAACTCCCCATTGCATCTGGAGTGAAAGCAGGGTGGGTTCCATTGTCAGCAATATTTTCAGCCATTTTACCTTCTTTGACTGCAAAATACTTCTCCAAGCGAGAATGTCTTTCCTCCAACAACTGAACCCTCTTCTCAGAAGCCTCAAGTTTAATGGAAGCTTCATTCTTCTCACTCTTTAGCTTTTCAATCTCTTTTTTCAGGCTAAAAGTTATCTTGCGCTTCTCCTCCTGCTCTTCCAGAAGCTCCTCGTTGATCTTCTTGTATCTGCCATCTAGAACCTTCTTCTCCTCCTCCAGCCGCCGGTCTAGAACCTTCTTCTCCTCCTCCAGACGAGCGTTGTTTTCGGCTAGGTTGTCGTATTCCCTCCTCAGATTCTTCAGCTCGTCTTTGAGCTTCACGTTCTCCATTTCCAGCCGCGGTTGCTCCGATTCCCGCTCTCTCCTCGCCCCGATTTCTCGCTCGCTCGCCATTTTCACCGCCGGAGGAATCTCTTTTTCTCGCGAGAGATGCTTCCAAATGTCGAGCAGCTGTCCGACGGTTGAGGTTCCGCCGGTCGCCGGCGGCTTCCAGGACCCGATCACCGGCTTGGACTCTGAACTCATTTTACAAGTGATCACCTTTTCCCAAAAGCTTTTTGGGTTATGGGTTTCGTGCCAAAAGGGGGGAAAGATGGAGGCTTTTATGAAGCAAAAACAAAAAGCGAAATGGCAATCACACCGTAATCCATTTTGGTGAAGCAAAAACAAAAAGCAGCAGCGAAGAGAATCGTACGGTGTTTCTAGAAATGGCAATGAGTCAAAATTCCGAGCTGGGAAAGAGGAGGAGGAAATGGTAGGTTAAAGGACTAACCTAGACGCGACGGCGACAGCGGCGGCGTGCGACGGAGGCCGGCGAGAATAAGGCCGGGAAGGAGAATCGGTGAAGACAGTGATCTGAGTTCAAACCAACTTTAATACCGATCACTCTCAACTTAAAACCAACTCACAACATTTTTAACTTTTTAAGGAAAATGGTTTTCAAACAAACAAACAAACTTTTTAAGGAAAATGATATATATACTTTCACTAAGTATATGTTTAACTCTAGTCACATATACAAATTTTATTATATATAAATAAAAATTAAATATATGCGTCTATCTATTTTCTCAACCTATTGAAGCACAACGAATTAATATAACTTAAATTCATAACTTTCTATTTGGGCGCTACTAGACTACAAGATCATTGACAATACATCTATAAATATAAATATATACGGAGTAATATATAATATAAAAAATAGTTATAAGAGTCGATTGATGTTGATATCCATGATTTATGCTTATTGAGTTGTAAATTGCGCTACAAATATTGTACTAAAATAATAAAATGTGCTATGTATAGAATGTGCATAAAATGTGCGAAAAATGTGCTATTTATAGAATGTGCGTAAAATGTGCGAAAAATGTGCTATTTATAGAAAATAAAATAATAATTATTAACCAAAAAAAAAAAACATACTATGTGCCGTTACAAATTGCAACGGCACAAAAATGGCCAAAAATAATTAATTTCAGAGTGGCCGCCACTCTGAAACGCCCTGGCGAGCGCGTGTAACACACGCGCCCGCTAGGCTGAAGGGTGAGACGCACCTGCGCGTCTCACCCTTTATTTATTTTATTTTTTTAAAAAAAAAAGTTTCTGACATGAATCTTCATTTTGCAAGAGAAAGATTTGCTGAAAATTTGGCTTTCCCATTTGTCAAAATCCAACACAAGCAAATTTTACTATTCTAAAATGTGACAAGATCCACTTATTGGCGGTGCCCTAACAAAATCTCTTCTTCCCATTACTTTTAAGCTTTTTCACAACTTTTTGTGAACCCACCATTTTATCTCCACATTTTAATTATTTCTTTATTTATTTGATTTATAAATTTTTAATTTTATAATAAAAATAAATGAATTGCATACGTAAAAATTGCAAGCTTTCATTTCCAAACTTATAATTAAAATAAACATAGTAAATAAAATAAAAAAATAGAAATCGGGAGTAAAATGTGCGAAAAATGTGCTATTTATAGAAAATAAAATAATAATTATTAACAAAAAAAAAAAAAAACCTATTGTGTATAGTGGCGGACCCATAAAATCATCTGAGTGTGGGCGAATATTAAATGACATTAGAAATGCCAATGACACAATATCAAACAACTATAATAAGGTTAAAATACAAAATACATTATAAATTACAATATATTTATGAGAAAACATGAAACATAATCAATTATATAAAATAATTTAAATAACAATATATTCATAAATATTTTTAAATTTTAATTTCTTTTAGTTAGATCGATTTTTCTAAATTAATTCGAATATAATAAAGTATATTATAAACTTGTATACTATATTAATTAAATGGTTTATAAAAACTAGACTAAAAGAGCATTTAATTTGTTAATTAAATGATTCATAAAAAGTAGACCAAAAATATTTAATTTATCTTGTGAAGAAATGAAAAGGAGAAGATAATTAAAAGTGTTGCTAATGAGATTTGAACACATAACATAAACCTTTTATAACATAAAATTTAAAAATCGACCAACTAAACTACTCAAATTAATAGTATTTTTAACATAAATATAAATTTTATATAATATTTCATGCTATATATGTATACATATACATACATATATATAAAGGGGTGGGGGGAGTGGGGGCAGCTGCCCCCACATTGGGTCCGCCGATGACTGTGTGCCGTTACAAATTGCAACGGCACAAAAATGGCCGAAAATGGCCAAAAATAATTAATTTCAGAGTGGCCGCCAGTTGGCGGCCACTCTGAAACGCCCTGGCAGGCGCGTGTGTTACACGCGCCCGCTAGGCTGAAGGGTGAGACGCACTTGCGCGTCTCACCCTTTATTTATTTTATTTATTTAAAAAAAAAAATTTGACATGAATCTTCATTTTGCAGGAGAAAGATTTGCTGAAAATTTGGCTTTCCCATTTGTCAAAATCCAACCCAAGCAAATTTTACTATTCTAAAGTGTGGCAAGATCCCCTTATTGTGGATGCCCTTACTCAAGTGATTAATTAATTCGAGATTAAGCCTTATAAAATTAGTGAACTAAATTCGAGTTTAAATATTTAAGCTTGATCAATTTCAAACTCGAATTCGATCAAACTTAAGATACTATAACTATTTTAAGCTCAAACTCAAGCCTAACTAACTTCAAGTTCATTTTGTTTGCACCTCGACTACTTACAATATCCACGTACTTAACTCATCACCACCACTAACTCCATTATAGCCAATATTTTCGTCTGCACATCATTATTTTACTACTTTTTTAAGAAAAAAAAATTGTGCAATTTACGAGTTACATGAATAAAATTTATCTAATATATATTCTTGAATAATAATTGTAAATTTCTCTCAATCACCTAACAAAAATCTTACTAAGAGAAGGACATAATTAGGTTAAAATAGAGTTAAGGTGATGCAAAAATATATAAGGGAATGCATTATGCATGGTAGTAACTAACTATCATTTGCCTAATTTCCTCTACTATCACCTATCTATATAATCTATATGTCCCACATAACATAATTACCCTTGGTATCAATCTACACCCTCTTACAATAATTACGTGTTGTTGTTTCCACTTACTTATCTATCATTGGCATGTTTGGTAACATATTAGTTAATGAGCCAATTTTACTTATTTAACTATTATTAGTTGTTTGACTTGGTTAAACAATCAATATAAGTGTTTGATTAATTAATTTTTTATAAACAATCAATACGACGTCGTTTTGGTGCATTGTCCAAAAAAAAAAAATCTATGTTTCAAATACACATAAACTCATAAAAAAAATACACAGAAACTCATAACTGAATACACATAATCTAACATGATACATAATACACAGAAACTTTTAACTGAATACACAAAAACTCTTAATTGAATACACATCAACTCTTAACTGAATACACAGAAACTCTTAACTAAATACACAAACTTATAACACAATACACAGTAGCTTTTAACTGAATATACATAATCGGGTTTTGGCCATTTAGACGAACAGAGTGACGTCAGCAATTGAAACACGCGTATTTTATTCTTGGACGCACATTACTATGTCCATTGTGGTGCACGATGTAAATTGTCCTATTCAGGCAATTTTGCTATTCAATGTGAGGCGATGGATGTTCAAAAAAAAATTATAAAAAAAAAAAAAAAGTGAGGCGATGGGCCCATTGTGTGTGTGTATAAACGTATAATGGAGAGAAAAAGCTCAAATACCTATTCTGGCGGATAGTTATGTTGTGCATCCGTATGGTGCATACGGATGCCAAAACGACGTCGTTTTATTAAAAAATGTGCGTCTCCCCTTTAAAAAAAATTCAGATTCAATTCCCAGCAACAACATTATATTGTTCATTTATTCTAGAATTTTAGTTCATAGATTATGGAATTATAGTTCATTGATTATGGAATTATAGTTCATCGATTATAGAATTGTAGTTCATCGATTCTGAAATTTTAGTTTATAGATTATGGAATTTTAGTTCATTCATTCTGGAATTTTTAGTTCATAGATTAGATTATGGAATTATAGTTCATCGATTATGGAATTATAGTTCATCGATTATGGAATTTTAGTTCATATGTTGTTGCTGGGAATCGAACCTGATTTTTTTTTTTAAGGAGAGACGCGCGTTTTATTAAAACGATGTCGTTTTTGCATCCGTATGCACCATGCATGGTGCATACGGATGCACAGCATAATTTGCCTGGCAATTCTGCTATTCAAAGTGAGGCGGTGACCCATTGGATGAGTGAATTAATGGTTTTGAACTTCATATTCAAAATTATTGAATCTCTATATTCATAATTACATAACTATGTGTTCATAACTTTATGTTCATAGTTATAGAATTATATATTCATAATTTGTAAACTATATATTTATAATTATGAACAGTTTTAAAACCGTGTCCATCTTACAAGGTGGACACATTTCCATGAGCGAATAGATCGAGAATTGTATTAACAATAATAATGTATAACATAATTGCATGGGCAGCTCAACTGGTCACAGAGGTAAAATTTTGAAAGAATGACTAGGGATCGAGTTTCACCAGCGACAGTGTGGGAGTTACCTCTCAAAGTGAGGGGGTTATTCTATTACATTGTATGTATGTGTGTGTATATACATTGGATCATTCATCTTTGAATTTTTTATGGCTAACATTATTTCTTTTGTTTCTTCTTTTTTAAAAACTACTCCGTATTAATTAGTAGGGGTTTAAATGAAATTTTGACAGATTTTCATTATATTTTAGTATGATACTAGTATTTGCGCCTGTGCGATGCACGGAATGGATTTGTTGTAATATATTAAGAATATTTGGATCGATATATAATTATTTAAATTAAAACATCAAATATTATATAGTGCAATTGAAGGTATGGTTTGGATCATTTATGTGTTTTTATGTTATTAATTGCTCAAATTAATAGCTAATATGTAGATGTACGCATGCGGTGCTGTAACTTTGGAGATTTTATTTATCATTGTTCATTACTTTTATAAATAGTCAAATGTGCTCATTCTCTAGCAACTCAGTTATAAAAATGAATTGATATCCTAATTTATTTGTATGGAAAATATATTTTTTGTCTAGATATATAGCAATTTTTCCATTTAAAAAAACATAATATCACAAATTGTATTTACATACTATTGAAACCTCTTTGTAGACAACATTGGTAGTAACAACACAATCTTG